AAGAGGCCCAGGACAGAGCACTCAGAAACGAAAGGATCTTGCCCCCCCAGAAAAATCAAAGAACCTGCGGATACTTAGAACGGAAGAATGTGCACTCCAGATTTCATGATAAAAGGGGGTCCCAACCCTCCCAGACGAGAAGTTTAGAGCCCCCCAGACCATCCATGAAAGGGCGGCCCTTTGCCCAGACCCCCCCCAACCCTCCAAGACAGCTCAAATCAGACCCCCCCAAATGTGCCCCCCCCGTTTTTTTTATGGAATCCGGAGTACGTGTGGGAAGGCCGTCCTTTCTCGGACGTTTGCGAGTCGACACTCTGCGAGTGGCGGGGCGCGCTCGGTGAGCACGGGCGCCCCCGCGCCCGCGTGCCGCACGACGCGAACGACACGACACGACACGAGCGAAGCGGAACGATCTCCCGTGTGGGGGGCCTCCGTTCCACTGCGATCTCACCCCCCCGACCTCCGATTTGTTGGATGTTCGTCCCCCCCCACTTCCCATAGTTTCTTCGATTTCGGATTTTAGTCCCCCCCCCCCACTTCCCCCGACCTCCGATTTGTTGGCTTTTCGTCCCCCCTCACTTCCCATATGTTCTAACAATTTTCGAAGGAATCGACCTCCGATATGTTAGATGTTCGTCCCCCCCACTTCCCACATTTTCTAACAACTTTCGAAGGAATCGACAGGGCATTGTGTCTGTGTGTGTTTTTCCCCTCCTGCAGGGGAGAGAGCACGGGCCCCCGCCGCGCCCGCGCGGCTCGCGCCGCCCCCGGAGCGGAGGGCGCGCGCCCCCGAGGGGGGTGCCGTGCGAGGCGGCGGCCCCTCCTGCCGCGTTGGCCTCGGCCGCTGCCCTCCCCCTCCCCCTCCCCCTCCTCCTCCTCCCCCTCCTTCCCCTCCTCCCCCTCCTCCTCCTCCTTCCTCCTCCCTCCTCCCTCTCCTCCTCCTCCTCCCCTCCTTCTCTCTCCTCCTCCTCCTCCTCCTCTCCTCCTCCTCCTCCTCCTCCTTCCCCCCCCACTCCTCGTTGGGCGGCTCGCGCGGCGTGCGAGCCGCGGCGAGGGCGCCACGCCTCATTGCAGCGGCCTTGCAGGCGTGCTGCAGCGGACTTCTGCGTGGACTTCTGCGTGGATTTCTGCCCGAAGCGGCGAGCGAAAGACGAAGTGAATGTCGCGTGGGTTCTTTCTGGTCTTCATTCCTGGCCAAAGAAATCCGCACGGACTTCACCTCGAAATCCAGAACGACATTCTCCAGGACACCCTGGGCCCACCCTATCGTTTTCCGAACGTAATCCACTCTGCGATGTTGAAGCCATGACACGCTGAAGGGCCCAGGGACAAGCAAATAAATACGGCAGGTTCGTGTCGTGTCGACCACGGCGTTGGTTCCCGACACCGCGGGGATCGTGCAGCCTTGAACGATCGGCCGTTTCCGAAACGTCAGGATCGTTCAACATCGACCGATTCTGGGCCGCGGGCAGCGTTCAACGTTGAACGCCGCTGGCGGGGTCGCCGCCGGTCGACACGACACGAACCTACCGTACGTACAAATTCCAGGATTCCGTAGATTTTACCCATATTTGCTGGAGTCTCGTCTCCCCCCCCCCCCCACCTCCCACATCGTCCCAAATTTTCCAGGGGATCGACGAGCCACTGTGCCTGTGCGCTGCTTCCCCTCCTGGCGCACGAGGGGTGGGAGGAGAGGCTGTGGGGCGGGGCGCGAGGCTGCGGCGCATCGGGAGGTGCCGACGAGCAGGGGGACTTCGCGCCGCGCGGTGGGGGCGAACGGCCGGCCTGTGCCGCATGGGCCGCCCAGCGGCCACGAGCGGAGCGTCAGGCCGTGGGCGGGATGGCGGCGAAGGTTTCTACAGTCGGACTTGGTTGGACAGGACGCGCGAGAGGACACAAGACCCTTTTGAGGGCTACATTGTTGCAGGGATGTAGGAGGCATGGGTCGCGAGGCACAGGACACAAGAGTACCCTGGATTTGGCAGGGTCGACCTACTAATCCGGGCCGACTGTAGGTCACCAGCTCTTCTTTCGTCGGCGGCGGCGCAGGGGCGGTCCGCTCCAGCGTGTGGCCATTCGGGGCAGCCGACAGGCGAAGTGTCCGGCGTAGAAGAGTGAGGAAGCCAGACGAGGGCGGCCGCGCGGGGGGAGGGGGAGGGGGAAGCGCTCAGACGTGGACTATAGGTCACCTACAGGCGGACCCAGGACAACAGAGCATCCTTCCAGAACGTGAGACCCTCCGCCGGCCAGAAGGAAGAGCATTCGAGGGCACCCTCCCCCAGGATGCACAGGCACGTCCAACAAACACGCAGCACATCAGGGCACCCTCCCCGAACCGGCCTCGATCCCATGCCTCGGCCCGACTGCAACTTCACGCGTCGCGCCCCATGACGACCCCTCTGGCCCAGGCCGCCATGCGCGAAGCGAGGGTGTCTTTGCGCCCCTGCCGGCGACAGGGAGGTCTCCCCCTGCCCCCCCCCCCAAAGACGAAGCCAGGACGAGGAGGACTTCGGGCGAGGATAATAAGTTGAGAATCTCTGAGATCCGGCGGCTCTGCAGGAACGTACTATCGGGCGTCGCGGCCTTCTCAGAGCGGTCCGGATAGCTCCAAAAGCGTTCCGGAGCGCTCTGGGGCGGATGCATCCTCGTCCAAGCCCCGCCCGACCACCCCCCCCGCGCCCCCCGCAAAGGCATGCCGTGTCAGGCGGCGGGGCGGTGCCGTCGGCGGGAGGCTCGGCTGTGGGGCCTCGGGGAGCGAGGCGCCCCAGGCATCCGGCGCCATGTGCTCTCCGACCCCTTCCAGGGACCAGCTCTTCCTCCCGAGCAGTTTCTTGACAGTTCCAGGCCCCACGAAGGACCCCCAGGGGCCCAACACATCCGAAGAACTTCCGTCGTGATCTTTCCCCACGACGCGATGATGTCAGTGGCGGGCAGCCGCTAGCGTGGCGGCCGCGGCCGAGAGGGCCCGCGGGAGCTCCGGTCGTTCGGCTGCAAGGCTAGCGAGCGGGCCAGCATCTGGCACCGCTCCGCCTCCCAGCGGGCACGGCCCCCGCTGGGCCTGGGAGAGAGCGGCTAAGAGAAGGAGGAGGAGGAAGAGGAGGAGGAGGAGTAGAAGGAGGAGGAGGGGGAGGAGGAGGAGTAGAATGAGGAGGAGGGGGAGGAGTAGGAGGAGGAGGAGGAGGAGGAGGAGGAGGAGGAGGAGGAGGAGGAGGAGCAGGAGGAGGTGGAGGTGGAGGGGAGGGGGAGGAGGAGGAGATGGGGGAGAGATCGAAAGACGAGAAGAAGCAGGAAAAGGAGCGCAGGAGGAGGAGGAGGAGGAGGAGGAGGAGGAGGAGGAAACCGAGTAAATCCAAGATGCATCAGCGATGCTGAAGCAAACCCTCCCACCCCCTCCTCACAAGTCCCTCTGGATAACGTGTACATCTGCGACAAGATATGGTGCGAAAATAAATCCGGAAAAAAGAGCACGAGGAGGAGGTCGAGTGAACCCCCAAGATGCATCAGCGATGTTGCAGCAGATCCTCCCGCCCCCTTCTCACAAACCTCTCCGAACACAGTGTACACATACGACAGGAGATGGTGCTATAATAAAAATCCAGGGGCACGTGTGCCGTCGAACTCTGATCTTCCTGAGGTGCCCTGGCTCCCGTGGGTCCCCCAAAACTATTCGGGGGACAAGAGACTTCCGTGGGTCGCCTCTGCTGGCAGGCCAGCTTCTTACCTGTGAAAACTCATACACAGTAGGGGCTCGACCACAAGAGACCTTCCACAAGAAACCCAACCCTGAGACCCCAGCACGTCCACTGATCTTGGGTGTGGGAACGCCGCTCTCTCCAAACCAAAGCCATCGAAACCCAAGAAGCCCACGACACCCTGGAGGCAGGCAGGGTGTTCTCTTGGCACGGGTCTCCGCTGTCTAACCTGTCCGCTGCGCGAGCAGTGCCCCCCCCCCCCCCCTTGACCGACGACCCCGGCCCGTGGGCCTGCCCTTGCGGCGCGGCCCCGTTTCGTAAAGGGACCGCCCTTTGGCGCAGGGTGGCCCTGTGGCCCAAGGTCCTCTGGCAAAGGATGCAGAGGGCCTTGGCATCCTTCCAGCTCGATCTTAGGAGGCAACTGCTGGGAGGTTTTCGTCGGAAAGATTAATAAAAAGGATTAAGTCCCATTTGGGAGCTGTTACGCCGGAGTGGGCCTCGGACCAAGCGGGAAGAAGCCGGATTGAGCGGGATTAAACGGGATTAAGCCGGATTTCGGACCAGGGCAAAATTAGAATTTGACCTCCCAGGAGTTGCATCCGAGCCTTGGCATGCTTCCAGCTCAGGTCACTCCAAGGAGGCAGGGGCCATACAAATCAAGGGACGGTCCAGCAACAGCTCCGCTCTGAAACGGGTCTGCCCCCAACCAGGCGAGCGCTGCACTGTTCAGAACCCATGTCAGATAACCCCAAGACATCGTAAAAGACATACCCATCTAAAACATTCGCCGCCCTCCACCCGTGTAGCTGTTTTACGATATGGACCTCGGGTTGCAAAACTGAGCGGCAATTCGATCTTGGAAACAAGCCACCCGCTATCCGTGCACGTAGGTCTTGCCAGCGTTCATTCCGATTGTGCGCGGAGCCAAAGGCAGCGCCACAGTCTGAAAACGCCCTGCGCCAAGCCCTTGTAACTGCCGAATTCTTCTCACGGGCGAAAAGAACGAGTGCGCGTGACGGCACGGCGAGAGAGCCCCACTTTGAAAACGACCATCTCTCCATCCGTTCGATTGTTTACTGTGATAAGACGAACGTGCACGGCGCCATTCTGAAGAGCACATGTGCCCCATCCGTGTAACTATTGGAGAACTTGAGTCTCGAGATCATGTGGTGTGACTAAGGAGGAGGTCCCAGGGAGACAACGTCTCGCGGTGCGACGAGGCGAGTTATCTACCAGGAAGAGGTATGGAGGGAAGAGCGGGGTGGTGACGGCAGGCGATTGCAAGCGACGAAGGCGGAGGCCGGTCGCCTCGGGAGCCTGGTGCTGGCGCAGTCTCTGGACCTCCTCCTGGCGTGCGGCTGCGCAGGCCTCCCCCTCCCCCCCCCTCTCCTCCCTTCTCTCCTCCTCCACACTGGAAGCGGGGACCGGGCGCTCCTGAGGGAGGGAGAGAGAGAGGGAGAGAGAGGGAGAGAGAGAGAGAGAGAGAGGGAACAGAACTAAAAAATCAGAGGTCCTGGCCTCGGAGAATCCCTGGGCAAGCACCCTCGGAGAGGAACTTCTGGCCCCCCTGGCCGGGGGGGGGGCGCCATCCCGGCCGGGGGCCCGCGGCAGATGCCTGCCCGGGCAGAAGCTGCTGGACCAGATCGTCATCGTCGAGCGGCCGTGGCAGTTTTATGAAGGGGCCCTGGGACACACAAATAAAGAGACACGGGGAACCGGATCCCCCATATTTTCCTACATTTTCTGGGTTTTTGCCTTCCCCCCCCCCCCCCTTCCCATATTGTCCTAGATTTTCTGGGGGATCGACGATGAATTGTGTCTGTGTGCTTCTTTCCCTCTCTGATTTAGGTGTTCGCCAGGCCGTCGCCCCTCGTGGGCACATTCTGGGCCACCGCGGGCGGGTCGGCGCGGACCTCCCCTGGGTGAGGACCCGCGGCGAGGCGCCGACGCGCATCCCCCCCCTCCCCCCAGAGGCGGTGACGGGGTGGACTCTGACGCCTCCGATGTCGAGAGCATGGATTGCATATGGCCTCAAGCCCGTCCCCGACCTTCTCCTCCTTCTCCTCCCCCATCCTCGTCCCTCCTGCGTCTCCTCCCGGCTCCCTCCCCTTCTCCTCCGAGGGCTGGACAAGAGGATAGACGCAGAAGGCCCCCCCCCCTTCTGCCCGAAACAACTTTGGGACCCTCCGGTAAACTCGGTCCGAGTATAGTAGGGGCCCGTCCACAAGAAACCTTCCACACAAGAAACCCAACCCTGAGAACCCAGGCCGTCCGTTGATTTTCGGGGTGGGGACGCCACGCTTTCCATCGCAAAACCATCGGACCACCAAGAAGCCCAGGGCACCCTGGAGGCAAGCAGGGTGTTTCTTGGCATGGGCCCCCGCTGTAGGCCGGTCGCCTGCCCTGAGCACCTGCCTCAGGGGCTCCAGGGCTCCGCCGTGCCCCCGGGGTTGAGGCGGCGTGGCCGCCCCTGACAGCAGCCGGTGCAGTCGAGGCTCATGAGGGCGTGGCGAGGCAGCCATGGCCCACGAGGAGGTACGTAAGGAAGGGGGAAGGGGGGGAGAGGGAGGAAAAGGAGAAGGAGGAGGAGGAGGAGGATGGGGGAGGGGGGAGGAGGGAAGGACGTGAAGAGGGGGAAGAGGAGGAGGAGGCTGCGGGTGTGCGCACTCACAGACTGCCCAATCAAAACGAGGAGGAACAGCGGTAGCCGCATGTGCGGAAACAAGAACCGTGGTGGTGCGAAGGCGGAGTGGTGGGCAGGAAATTGCCCCAAGGCGCTTCCAAGATGCACAAACGCCTCAAGGAAATACATAACATCAAATACACCCAATCGAAATCGTGAGGGCTCCCGCGCATATGCCGTCTCAGCGAAACGCCCAAACCCAAGGTCCCTAACCGTCTCAGCGAAAGACCCAAGGTCCCTCCAACAAGGGCCCTACAGGAAGATCTGGGAAGAAGAGCGGGATGAGAAACGGGCGGAGGACATACGGGGAGGAGCAGCAGAAGAAGTGTAGCGAGTGGAGGAGAATGGTGGAAAGAGGTGGATGGACGATGGGGAGGTGGAGCAGCAACATCAAAATGATGTGGTGGAGACGGGGGGGAGAGGAAGGGAGTCGGAGAATTGATGGGATGAGGAGGAGCAGGAAGATGGGGCGAGGGAGCGAGTCAGAAAACGTGCAGGCCAACGACTCGCGCCGAGCTGCAACGTGGAAGACCGCAGACGGGTGGACCCACGGCGTGCCGAGCCGGCGCCCGCGGGTACACCTCGCAACCACCATTCTATACGAAGGTGTAAGAGGCCTCCTGGATGGGGTCCGGGTAAACGGGGTCGAAGGATCGCGCCGCATCGGCGACGTCAGCCATGCATCGGCGACGTCGGCGTGGGGAAACACGGGCTCCACATCGAGCCGCATCGTCGATGCATCGTCGATGCGGCGCGATCCTTCGACCTCTTCTATTCGGGCCCCATCTAGGAGGCCTATATGTATATAGGGTGCAACACGGGGCTGCCGAGATGAAGGCTGGAATTGCGAACCAAATGCATAAGAAACACGTCTGCGCACACAGCCAGAACTACAATGAATGCGACTGGTCGCATACGTAACCTCAGGCGGATCTATTTCCGAATGCGTTTCGCTTTGATCTTTCGTTTGCTGGTCTGGGGCTGCATGCCAAAACCTGCCACGCGCGCTGCGCTCTTGGTGTGCCCACGGGGAGTGCAGACTGCGTCAAGGCCGCGGACCAGTTCAGCGAGGATGTTCGCGGCCGAAGCAAGGCAGGCACTTTCCATGGCTACCATCGCCCTCATGGCATCGTCATCGATGTGCTTGGACGCGAAAGTGTCACGGTTGAGAGAATATACCATTTTCTCGACGTCGGTGGGCTACTCCTCGCACGACGCCTTGACGATACTGTCCACGTTCCGTGGGGAAGAAAACGTTGAGGAACGAAGCTGGCAGCTGCAAGCTGGGATCTGCCGAAGGCTTGGCCTCGGCCGGGGCGTCGCCAGTAGCCCCGTCAACGCCCATATCGGTCGCTTGTCCACGGTCCCGGGAGGAAGGCTTCTCACGCACTTGCGTCGCGGTCGCGGCGACGACGCTGCCAGGATCGTGCGTATCAGCGCGCAGCCGTGCACGTAACCTCCACGGCCGGGCTGGATGAGCTGACGTGCGCTGGCCACTTCTCCTCCGCCTCGGGCGCGGCCACGCAATCTGCGCCCCCGTGGTCTTCCACCGCAAGGTGCACGCTGCCCACGCCGAGGCTGACCCGCGTGGCCTCTGCCTGCACCCCCGATCTCCAGCGAGACGGGCGGCTCCTGGGAGATCTTGTGCACTTCCTGTGAGGCTTGGGGTCCTCCTTGTGTGCACTTCGGCTCGACCTCGGGCGGCCTGGTGACATCCGCGGCCAACATCCCGACGTCGGGGCGGCTGGCAGAGTTACGCAGCCGCGAGAGCTCCCCGACGCTCGCTGCAGCATCGCGTTCGCCGCGGAAGCCGCAGGGCACCCTTCGGCTCGGGCGCCAGTGGCGTTTGACGCCGGTTCCCAGCGTGCGCCCTGCCGTGGCCAGCACCCCTTCTCGGGGGCCGGGCCTGGGCCTGCCCCAGAGGCTGCAGCACCACGTGGAGGTACACGAGGGAACAGCTTGCGAACAATACAGTAAGGGAGTGCGTGAGGAGCGGGAGGATGGGGAGGGAGGGAGGCACGAGGAGGCGCACCAGGAGGGGGAGAGAGGGAAGAAGAGAAGGAATGGGAGGCAGCGTACGTGGGAGGAAAGAGAGCGGGAATCTGAGCACGGGGATGCGGATTGTGTGGAATAGGGCGGACGGAGATAAGGAGGGGGAGGAGGAATAGGTTGGACGGGGATGTAACAATAGCAGAAGGATGAGAACGAGGAAGAAGGACGTGACTCTGCATATTAGTAGCGATGAGGGAGCAACAGGACGGGGAAGAGGAGGAGGAAGAGGGAAAGGAGGGAAAACAGGAGTAGGATAAGGATGATGGGGAGAGGTGGGAAGGCGGAACTATAGGAGAGGAGGAGGAGGGGGAGGAGGAGAAGAAGGATGAAGAGGAGGATGAGGAGAAGGATGAGGTTCAGGAAGAAATGGAAACGAGAAACGAGCTGCATCGAGCAAATGGGTAATGGGCCGTCCCCCTTACAACTCCCTCTCCTCCAGTATCTTCCTCCTCGCCATAGCCATCAGCATCACCACCACCATTATCATCAGCAGCATCATCAACATCACCATCATCAGCATCACCATCATCACCATTATCACCTGCTTGCACTCCTTGCCTCCTCTCCCGCATCACCAATGCCATCATGCTGATCGATTTTCCCCCTCGAACCCCTCTTCTTACGTTGAAGGCCATGGAGCCCAATTCGCCTCGTCATCCTCGTTCTCATCCCCATCCTTCTCCTCATCTCCCCATGCTCACCCTGCCCTGTCACCACCGGGTTACCCTGCTGATCCTCATGCCCCTCTTACTTCTCATCCCGCCTCTGGTCCCATCCTCCTCCTCTCCTCGTCCACCTTACCTCCTTCTCCACCCTCCACCTTCTTCTCGCCCCCGTCCTTCTCTGCCTTGTTCTCCCGATTCTGCGACTTCTGCGATTTCTGCGGACGGCCAAGGTCGAGCAAGCTCAGCCTAGGCCTAAAACCAGACGGGGGGGAGGCCGAAACAAAAAGTGAACCTCGAGCCTCCCTCCCTCCTCGCGGCGCTGCGCAACGCTCCCGCCTCCATGAAGCTCGTGCTCGACATCGTGAGCATGTCGAGCAGCGGGCGGCCACGCGCGCTCTCTCTCTCCCTCTCTCTCTCTCTCTCTCTCTCTCTCTCTCTCTCTCTCTCTCACTCTCCCCCCCCCCCCCCCCTCCCCCCCCCCCCCCCCCCCCCCCCGCGCACATCCTCATCTGTCCCCATCCTCATCCCCCCATCGCCCACTAGTCCAGCACTGGCCTGAGACGGATCACTACCCAGCCGCAAGGACCCCAAAAGTAGGAAGGATGGGGGGGGGGAGGGGAATTGTGTAAGATACGATAAGTGAACGAGGGAGGGGAGGGGAGCAAGTGGCCAATGCCTAGAGGGTGCCACTGCGGAGGGCAGCCTCCGCACCCTCGAGCCTGTTCAAAAGCATCAGGCGGGTGTCATTGGCCACTTCAATATGGGCGTTGAGCCTGTGCAGGGTTCTCTCCGCATCAGCAAGAGAAGAGTCTAGACCCTCTGGAGGCGGGTCCTCACCTATGAGGCGGTGCATGCTCTGAGATGCCTCTTGGGCCTGGTGGACCAGGCCAGCCAAACTGCGCAAAACTGCAGAAAGCTCTCTGTGGGCTTTCCTGAGGCCCTCATTCAGGCGCTTCAGCACCGCCTCCGCCTCACGGAGCTCCACGCCCTTACCGACTGGGGGGTCCTGGATGCGACTTCCATCGGCCGAGCCTGCACTCATTTCGACTGGTGGGGCGCGGGCCAACGCGAGAAAGCCTGAGGAGCGAGAGGCTGCGGAGGGAAGGCGGTGGCGGTGGACGCCAGGAGGGGGTGGGTGACGAGCTCCTCCTCCTCCAGTGCATACTCGAAACCCTCCACTCCTCCCCCAGAGGCCTATAAATTCAAAAGCCCTCTATGTAAGCCCAGCCTTCATACTGCCTTGTTACTGCAGCAGCCTAATCGACCCCAGGACTGGACCGCTGGGCTTACAAGGGGGTAGCCTAGAAACCTTCAGCACTGCCTGCCTCTTCCCCCTGGCCCTCGTCGGGGAGTGGGATGCTGGCTGCCAGCGCACGGTCCAGCCCGTTGGCGAGTGCATCCCGCTCCGCCCTGACCGTGGCTAGCTGCTGGCGGAGCTGAGCCGCCTCTTCCTCGGCTCTTAAAGCGCGCTGCTGAAGGGGCGCCGCATCGTCAAGGGCCGTACTTGGCCTGGGCCTCGTGGCCCTGTCCTCCTCCTCTTTGGGGGCAGTCTGCTTTTTGGAGGTGGGGGCCAGAGCGGGTTTCGCGGAAAACCTGGCGGGACGTCCGCTCACTGCTTGCGGAGGCGGTTGCACTGGGCGGTGTGGGGCATAGGTCCTGAGAGCGAACTTGCCCCCGCAGCGCACACCATCGCGGAGGCGATGACAGTGGGCCCAGGGTTCCTGCTCGAGCCTGTCTCGGCGCAACCATCCACCGCGTTCTCGGTGGTGTTCACATGGTGCATAGTCCATTGCGGACGAGCCGAAACTGAGAACTGGGACGCACAGGCCTAAAACGCTTGGAGCCTATACATTGCATCCACACCTGCTGCTGCTGCTGCCGCTGACACCCCTCCCTACCCCCAGACTGGAAGGGTCTGGCAGCTACCTGTCTTGCTGCTGTATAGAACGCGCCAGCTGGGCTATGGGGAAAGCGCGGGAAAAAAAAAAGCCCCCGTCGACCCAGGGACCTGGCCTTTGAGGAGCTCGCGCAACTCAGAGGATGGCTTTCTGGGCCTGGGGCAGCTTTCCTGATTTAGCTTGGTCGACTTACAAGTTAAGAAGCGACCACATTTAATACATAATATAATGGGTACCTGCGAGCCGTCAATTGTGGCTGCATGCAGCACGTGGCCTAGACCATGCTGGCCATCTAACAACTTTTGAATTGCTGCATTTAGCCCTTGGCACGCGAACTTCGTGCACGGGCTGACCTTTCTAAAACAGGTGCTGCATCTAAAGCATTTGTCGTGCCATACAGGGGTATGGCACTGTATAAATGGGCGTTCCTTCCTTTCAGGGGCTGCTTTAAAGAGTTTGCCCCAGAGTTCGCGAGCTTTGGGCCGCTGGCCTAGAACCTTGGCCGTGCCAATGATTAGGTCTCGGTGGCCTTCCGCGGCTGCTAAAACTGTGTTTGCCTCCTCGGGGCTGGCAGCATGCAGAGCTGCCACTTGGCTTGCATGCCAATCAACGGCCTTGTTGCCTAGGAAATGCTGAAGGTCTGCATTGCTCTCTGTCTCCTCGAGCGCGCGGTGGGCCTTGGTCTTTTCCAAGACTGGCCACTGGCCTACTGGAATTGCTTCCCCTATGCCTCTCCAGTGGCCTTCGAAGTCATTAGTGTCTGTCAGAACTGCATGAGGTGAGCGCTGCCCTTTGAGCAGCGCTGCATAGTCTATAACACAAGGGGCACTTCGGGGCCAGGCCGAGTGCTGGACCGCCAGGTGCAGCGCTGCATGTTCCGCATGGCCTGAGGTTTGTGGGAGCATATCTGGCAGCGGGCTCCTGGGTGCTTTTAGGAGCCCACCCGAATCATCGAGCTGGACTGCCGCACAGTCTGCTCGAGAGAGGAAAGGATGGGTGGGATGGATGCAAGAACCGTCGCTGTAGATTGGCATTGAAGCTTCGAAGAGGCCAAACTGTTCGCGGCTACACGGTTCTGACCCACCATCTGCTGCTCCTACAAAGTATTGGAGGTTCCAATATCCACAAGGTGGGCACACCTGCGAATTGGGCCTCGCAGCCCATAAGCGCGAAAACGTTAAGTCATTTGGGCCTGCTGTTATAGCTGCTTCTACATATTCCGATAAATACTCATCTCGCATTGGGGCTCCATGTGGGCACTCCCATATGCGGTGAAAAGGTAGTGTCAACAGCACCGCAGTAAGTGCATGGTCCTACCTCCTTAAATCCCCAAGCTTTTAGCTTGCCTCCTGTGGGGAGCGTGCCACAGAAGACATGCCTGGCAGCTGCTGCCTCTGAGCGGGTCAGTTTGCTGCTGCTAAGGGTCTTTAAAAACTGTTCGGACCATAAGCCTTCCGAGGCCACGGGGGCCTCTGGAGCACACTTGGACCTAACATACTCGTGAGCCAGCTTCTGCTTATACTGCATTGCCATATGGTTTGCTACACGCCTAGGTGGGATTCTTAAAATGTCACACCTTCGGCCATTGGTGTCGCAGAAGGTTGTTGCATTTGGCATAGTCCAGCCGACCTCTGCGACCCACATGAGCAACTGAGAAATTGGGCCTCGTGCTTTGGCTAACCAGCCACGCTTAGTAGAAGTGGCCAGGGACTGTACGGCCGCTTGGTGAGCTGCTCTAGGTTCTTTGATGCTAAAAAGGTCACGGTGCGTGCGCAGCTCAGGTCTGGTGGATGAAGCATTCCACCATTATATACAGCATCTTTCCATGACCTGAGACATAAGCTTTATTGGATCTTTATCTGGAACTGTGATCCGCCAGAGCGCGTTGTTGGCCGACTTGGTGTGACGTCCTGAGGCTACCGCTCCTAGTTTGCGAAGGGAACTGACCTCATGGGGAGTAAAACCTTGGACCCCCGCCCCATATGAGATGGTGGAGCGGCCTCCAACTGTAGAAAATCTGCCTTTTCGGAGCTTCGTTTTGCCCTTCAGGCGAAGGGACTGGATTTTCTTGACCCTGGCCCTCAATTTGATCCATCTTTTACGTCTTTGGGCCCTGGCTCTCCGTCTGCTCCTCCCTATCCTCCTAGGCCTCCCTCCCTCCCCTGGCCCCTCCTTCCCCACTGCTCCTCACCCTCCTTGCTGGTCCCTCATGCCTCCTTCTCCCTGGTCTCAACTCTGTGTTCCTTCTTTTCCTCCTCCTCCTCCTCCTTTTCCTCTTCCTCCTCCTCCTCCTCCTCCTCTTCCTCCTCCTCCCTCCTGGACATGACCCTCCGCCGACCGATCCTCCTCCCTCATTTCCTCCTTCTCCTCCTCGTCCACCTCTCCTTCTCTCCTTCTCTTCCTCTTTCCCTCCTCCCTCCTCCTCCTGCTCATCCCCCCTTCCCCTCCCACTGTTTCCCTCCCTCTCCTCCTCGTCACTCTCTCCTTCTCTCCTCCTCTCCTTCTCTCCTTCTCTTCCTCGTTCCCTCTTCCCTCCTCCCGCTCCTCGCCCCCCCTTCCCCTCCCACCTGCCGACCCCCCTTGACAGGCCCCGGTGGGCAGCGGCAACGGGGTCAGGTCACTGCTCGCCCCTCCCAGCCGCCAGCGCGTGCACAACCCAGCCTCCGGCGCCCACGCCCCGGGGGGAAGGCGGAATCGCTTGCAAGCCCGCGCTCGCCGCGAGGCACGCGCGGCCTCGCCTGCTCCCGTTGCGACACCCCTCGCCTCCCCCTCTCCCGCCCTCCCTCCTGCTGCTGCTCCTCCTCCTCCCCCTCCCCGCCCCTCCCCCTCCTCCCTCCCTTCGTCGTCCTCTGTCTCCCCTTCTTCTCCTCGGCGTCCTCTGCTCCAGCACTCCCTCTTCCCGAGCAGCCCGTTCCCGCCTTGGGATCGCTGCTGCGAGCGGATGCCGACCTGGTCGTTGCGTCCAGGTTGCCACGTGGCACGTCACAGAGCCCGACCGCGCGACTTCAGTCCACCACGCAGAGGCAGCGTAGCTCACACGGTGCTCTCCAGCGAATGCCGGCGCATGTGATGCTGCCCAGCGAGCCGATTCGAGAAGGCCCCTCTCAACTAACAACCACGTATCACCGCGATCAATACCCATTGTTGTGCAACTGACGTCGCGTTCGTACGGCTGCGGCAAGTTCGTGCGGTGACGAGCGCGTGAACTGTTCGACCTTGAACTGTCGCGGCCTTCCGATTGCGCGGATCGTTCGAGGCTGGGGTCGCCGCCGCGTCGATGCGCCGCACGCCCTGATGTCTGGGAGGGGAGTGCGGCGAGGCCAACATTGCAGGCAGGGGAGCAAATTGGTGGGTAGGCGCTCCTGCGTGGGAATGACCTCCAAAGCAAGCTCCAGGTCGTCCACTGACAGCTTGGTGGTCTGCACGGGGGGGTCTTGAGACGTGTGCAGCCGTGAGCTCCAACGCAGGACACGCACATCAACAGATCAAGAAACTTCAGCGTACTCACACCTACTCTCTCTCTCTCTCTTCTCGCTCTCTCTCCCTCTCTCTCTTTCTCTTGTTCTATCTCTCTTTATTTGTACCATATCTGCTACCCCCTGACAAGGACCTACCTGTTTTGTGCTGTCGCGCTGGAAACTTCAACCCCTGTCTCTCGCTCTCTCTCTCTCTCATTACTTTCCTCTTTGTCTCTTTCTCTCTCTCTCTCTCTCTCTAAATTGGAGTCAATAGGGACCGATGGGAATCAATAGGAACACATTGGAATCGATAGGACTCAATCTGAAACGAAATAAAGCAATCGGAATCAATGATAACAAATCCGATTCAATAGGAGCTAGAAACACTCGACAGAGATTACCAGGAACCAATGGGAACCACTCGTAACCAATAGGAATCACTCGGAAACAATAAACATACATAGGAACCAATCGGAATCAATAGGTGTTCATATCAATCGGTTGGGATCGATCGGAAGCAATGGGAACCACTAGGAATCACTATGAAACAGTAGGAGAGAATACGAAGCAATCCGAATCAATCGGAAGTAACAATAACCAGCGGGAATCAGTCAGAACCAATCGCCTATTAATTCCTGTTGCTTCCGATTCCATTCATATTGGCTCCGATTGCTTATTTTGGATTCCTAAGAATTTCCAGCGTGTCCTATCGATTCCGATGGATTTCTATACATTCCGATTGGTTCCTATTGATTCCTACAGATTCCGAGTGACTCCGAGTGGTTCCTAGTCATCCCTATTGACTCCTATTGATTTCTAGTGGTTCCGATAGGTTCCTGTTGATTCCTACTTGTTCGTACTGCTTCCTAATGGTTCCGACCGGCTCCTATCTATCATTATTGCTTAAAGAAGAAAGGAAGAGAGAGAGAGAGAGAGATAGAAAGAGGGAGAGAGCGAGAACGAGAGATAAGGATGGAGGAGGAGGGGGCCATTTCCTTTGCGCGAAGCTTTTTGGCTTGTCTGAGAGAGCTACCAAGATGATTGGTTTCCCGCTTGACTTGTTCTGATTTCACTGACAGTCGCATGTGTCCGTAATTTTGGACCACGAAACCTGTGATACTTCCCCAAAAAAAAAACGACCTCAACTAGCCCTACGAAGGACCCAACCATACACAATTGTGGGCACTGTCGTTGTATGCGCCGCATTCGCTAAAGCTCTGTGTGGGGCCACGGAACGTGTGAGGGGTGCACCAAGATGGGTGCGGTGAGCACATGCGAGCCCTGGCATGTGGGCCGTCGGTGTTCCCAGTGGGGCCACGAAACGTGTGAGGGGTATGCCAACATGGTTGCTGTGGGCGCATGCGAGCGCTGGCATTTGGGCCTTCGGTGGGGCTCCCAATGGGGGCACGAAACGTGTGAGGGGTGTGCCAACAGTGGTGCCGTGGCTGCATGCGAGCGCTGGCATGTGGGCTCTCGGTGGAGCCCCCCATGGAGCCACGAAGCGTGCGAGGGGTCTGCCAACATGGGTGCGGTGGGCGCATGCGGGCGCTGGCATCTGCGCCTTCGGTGCCCCAACCAGCCCCCCGGCCCAGCCCAGCCGGAGGATTCGCGGGCTCTCTGAAAAAACTCGTAGCCCGCAGCCATTCTTGCGAGGGCACGGCCTCGCCCGATCAGCCCTCACGGGGCCGCTGCGATCGCCCGAGCGAGCGTGGTAAGGATTCGGGCTGCGCGCAGACTGCCCTCTCCAGGGTTGAGGTGTTGAGACCGGACTACCTAGAAGGCCTGTTGAGGCCACCTCGGGCTACTCGGGGAGCCTGGTGAGGCCAGCTGGGACTACCTGGGGGTGCTGTCCGTGCGCGTCCCGGAGCCTTACGGAACGGCCAAGCCCGGCCAGCATTCCCAGCCAACCCCTGTGGCCAACCCTCGCTCGAGCCATCCGTTTCACAGCAGCCCCCGAGGGACAGGAGCTGCACCGCAGGGGAGCGCCGAGATCTTCTCTGGGGCTGCGCCCCGTCTCCCGGCCCCCCGGGGCCAGCTCTTGACATAGGCGGACCTGCCCAGAGGCGGCGGAGGAGGAGGAGGAGGAGGAGGAGGACCAGTGTAGACCTAAGACGCAGCAGGACAGGACAGGACAGGAGCGCGCAGAGTCCGCCGGACGGCCGGCGGGCCCCCTAGGAGCAGCGCGGGTGGGCCGGAACCCGGTTATTGCTGGTGGAGGAAGGCGTCTTCCCAGCTGTCCCATAATTTTTGGTCACAAGCATAACCTTACCAATGTTTGGTGATACTCCCACTGGTAATTTGTACAAACTGTGATATGTCGTCGCACCACCGCTTGCGTTGTCGTCCATGTTTGCGCTGTGCTATTCGATGGTCGTGGACTTCCGGCTCCCACGCTGCCGCAAGCCTTGTCCATCTAAGGTTCGAATGTGTTGCCACTCGCCTTGCCCACCGCCATTTTCGTCTGTAGTATACTGTTGTCCACTCGTGCACGTGAGAGCCGGCAGCGAGATCTGTAGCCGCATGTGTGGCTCTGCGAATGGACTTCTCCCACGGCTCGAGTCCTGTATCGTCTTCGACGTCGTCGAACTCGAACTCCCTTCCTGCGTCGATCGTGCTGTCGCTGGTGTCATCGTCGGTGCGGGCAGGGTTGGACTGGGCGTCGTCGTCGGCTGCTGCGTTCTGTTGGGTGCTCTCCCGTCGCCTCGGAGTGTTCACAATGAGTCGTAGCATACGTCGTTGCGCACGTCGTAATGTCAAAAGCAGGTCTTTGGTAAGAGTCCACGATGCGCAGCCGTACATAACTGTCGGTGTTACGGCGCCGCTGAATAGCTGGAACCTGCTGTGGAGCGGGTACCGTTTGCTCGTTAGTTCGTCGCGCAATTGGTTGAATTTGCGCCATGCCATTGCGATTCTGTTGGCGAGCTCGGTGTGGTGGTAGTCGTGGAATGCAAGCTTCCGGCCGAGGTACTTCGTGCTCTGTTCGTCGCTGAGGATTTCGACTCTGTCGCCGTCGATGTCAACGTGAGTAATCGTTCGCCCCTGTCGCCAGCTTATGTTCGTGAGGGTTTTCGACTTGTCTGGGTGTATCTCGAGCCCACATGTTGACGCTGTTTGTTTAAGACCACGGAGAGTACATTTCAGTTGTCTAAGGTTGGGTGCGAGTAGTAGGACGTCGTCTGCAAAGCGCAAGTTGGTAAGAAGCGTCGGCTTGGTATGTCCCAGTGTAATGCCAAAACCCTTTCGTGTCCAGACTGCATTGAGTTTCCGGAACACGTGCTCGAGCAGCGCGTTGAACAAGTAAGAACTTAGAGGGTCGCCTTGTTTGACACCCCGTTCAATATTGAAGCCTCTGCTGTTGACGTCGGTCCGCACTTTCGCAGTCTGTCTAAGACGCAGCAGCGATGCTGCAACAAACCCTCCATCCGAGTTCCCCGTTCAGAAGTCCCTACAAGCATTTCTCTTCATTGCGGAAAGTGCCCAGTTGGAATACAACCGTTCGCGAATCTGCAAACCTGCCAAGAGAGCATTCCTGGGACTTCATCACCGCGAATCAACGTGACCGTTGCCTCCTGACAATCCTGAACCTTGCCAGAACATCGTTCCCGAGACTTCGCCACAACGAATGAACATGAATGCTGCGGCCTGATAGTACTAAATCGTGCCAGAACACAATTCATGGGACTCCAGCCATACGAACCCGCCACACTGCTGCGGACTTGTTAAGCGCAAGCGAGAGCCACATTATGAAAATGGGCCGCCCTCCATCCGTGAAACTGTTGCAAACGTTTAAAAACAGATGTGCGCGGCGCTGAAGCTAGAGCCACAGTTTGAAAACGTCCCTCCCTCCATGCTTGAAGCTGTTGCACATTTGAAGCCTCAGGATCACTTTTCCCCGACGACAGCAATGATGAGGCAATGACCCCCACGGCAACGCTGCGCTACAGTGTGAGACGGAGCAACGAATGCCGGCCGTCAACTCGCACATGCCCGAGCGCAGTGTTCAAATGACCTTGAAACGAAGCGGCGCGGGAGACTGAACGAAACGACCACACTTCCCAGACCATTGACGAGCCGCTGCCGCCCCGAGGTGAGCCCTACAGGGCCGGCCGGGTAGACGTCACCAGTCAGGGTGGCCGCATCTGGGTGGCCGAAGCTGGGTGGCTGAAGCAAGGTCGCAAATGGGTGGCCGGCGGCAGGCGCCAGCCCGTCCGCGAGGCCGGTATCCCGGTTGCCCGCGGGCGCGCAAGGAGGAGGAGGCGCATGAGGAGGGGGAGGAGGAGGGGGAGGAGGAGGAGGAGGAGGAGGAGGAGGAGGAGGAGGAGGAGGCGGAGGAGGAGGAGGTGGAGGAAAAGGAGGGCATGGGAGCCAAGCCCGCGAATGCGTGGACCAGCTGGGGCTTCGCCCAGTGTGCGCGCACAGAGGTCCCACAAAAGCAGAGGGGGAGAGGGGGCGACAGGAGGGAAGTGCGCGGAAACGGGAGCGAGCAGGCAACGAGTCAAGGAAGACGGGGATCCGCAAACGGGGGGTGCAGGGGACGGGCAGCCATGTGAGCAAGCCCCCCCTGACGCCCCCAGCACGGGCATCGCGTGCGAGGAGGAGGATGGGGAGGACGCGGGGAAGGAGGACAATGAGGGGGGAGAGGAGGGAGGAGGCAGATGGAGGAAGAGAAGAGGGGAGCGGAGCAGGAAAAGAAGGAAGGAAGAACATGAGGAAAAGGAGGAAGGAAGAAGGAGGGAAAAAGAACATGAGGAGGAGGAAGAGGAGGAGGAGGAGGAGGAAGAGGAGAAGGAAGAAGGGAAAGGGTAACGACCGAGCGAGCAAGATGCCGTGCGGTCAAGAAGACCGGGGCACGCGGGGCCGTAGCCCTCAGATGTTTCACAACTCGTGCAGCAGCACACTGAATTGTTCCAGGTAGTCTGCGGTGCATGTCTCGTCCAAGCCAGGTCATTCGCGTCTCCATGGCGTCGTCCAATGCAATCCTTTGGTGGGAACTCGTAGGGTCGGTGGGCGTGCAGGGATGCTCGGGTATCATCTTTTGTGCTGCCCACCGTGGCTGCGGTATGCCCCCCCCGGATGTGTTCGCTCCAGGGTACCACAAGTAGGGCCTGGCACGTCCAGCGCAGAGTGCGATGACTGGCCACGCGATGGACATATCTCTACATGGACTGCCGTCGGGTCGTTATTACCCAACATTGAATGCCGTGCTGGCGGACCACATCTTCCGCGTGGCAGAGGACGAGGAGGGGGAGGAGGAGGCGGAGGAGGAGGAGGATTACGTGAATTACCCCAGCACAGTCGGAGGAGGAGGATTACGAGAAGTGCCACTTCGGTTTCTTAACTGGCCCCTCTCTGCCTTCAACCTTCGCCCTCTTGCTCTCGGCCTGACCCGCGCGCCGCGCCGAGCATACTGGGCTGGGGCAGGGAGGGAGAAGGATAAGCATGAGCAGGATGAAGAGGAGGAGGAAAAGAAGGAGGAGGAGGAGGACATGTAGGAGGGATGATGGGGGAGGACGCAGACAGGGAGGAGGGAGACGTGGAGGGCGAGGAAGGAGCTGGAGAAGGAGGATCGGGGGGCATGGACCAGAAGGAAAATGAGGAGAAGGAGGAGGAGGAGGAGGAGGAGGAGGAGAAGGAGGAGGGAGGAGGGAAGAGGAGGAAGATGAGGGAGGAGAGAGGAGGGAGGAGGAGGACGACGATGAGGACGAGGAGGAAGGGGTGGTGGGCGGGCCGCCTCCCAAACGAGGCCCTCGAGGATCTTCGTCAGCTCCTGCGCGCGAGGCAAGGGGGGAGGGGGCGGGCCGGGTGCCAGAAGGAGAAACGAGGGGGAGTCCGTCTCCTCACTCTCCTCCTCCCCTTCCTGTTCCTCAATCCCGTGCAGCCCATGCGGGCGCCACAAGGAAGGCCCGCGGCGACGAGCTCTGGGCCTGGGTGCCCCAGACCCCACGGCGCCGCGCCCCCCCCCCACCCTGGCAGGGTCCCCACACGGCCCCCCAAACCCCGGGCCCCCGCGAGGCCGCGCGGGCCGCCCTGCACGGGGGTTTTCTCACAGCAAGCAGCAGCTGACGCCCACGCGCTGTTGTCGAAAATGGCGTGGCGAACGTCTGCCTCCATGCCAATGTCCACGAACATTGCAAGCTCACGGAGGAGGAACGAAGAGGAGGAGGAGGAGGGGGAAGAGGAGGAGGAGGAGCAGGGGAAACAGGAGGGGAAAAAGGATAATGGGCCAGGGTGCTGTGCGGAGAACCCCTGCGGCCCTAACGACCGTTAATATATACTGCACTCGCGCACAACGGCATCCCAGGGGGGGAGTGGGAGGAAGGGAGAGAAAGACACGTCGCAGCAGAAGGAAAGTGCACAATGATAGAACCAACACTCCCAATTCGACAAGCACTATGATGAAAACGGGTAAGACCAGAGAGTTTATAGACATACGTCTAGTGGGAGAGTGTGTAAATGTATCCATACTCCTCTATATGTGTAAGTATGAATGTATAAAAGAACAAATCGCAAGAAGGAGATAACGAGAGAGAGAGAGAGGGAGAGTGAGACGAAAACGACTTGGTCCGACCTCGTCTCCACCCTTGCCCAGAAGGAGAATAACAATAATAATACCAATGGTAATTGAATCACAATGGCATTGCAACGTCTGCTCGCCGCGAGCAGCCAACACGTGTACGATTTGAAATGCGTTCGCGTGAGCGGAAGACCCTCACTCCGATAACCCCCCCTTTTGCGTCCTCCCATCCCGCCAGGCCGCACCACCACCGATCTCTCCGTCGTATTGTTGCGCCAGGCCCCAAACAATCTAAGGTACGCCAAGATGGCGAGGGCCCAAATATTGGTTACAAGACAGCCCTCAGCACGCCCAATAAGGTGAAAGGTGGCCCCCGCAAGAGAGCCCAACAGGAACGCAAGACCTCCACATCACCGAATATTGAACCCACGCGACCTGATTAGGGGTCGTCTTTCTTCCGACGGAGTGCCCTGCAGAGCAGGGCAATCAGGCGCTGTCAACGCGAAGCCATGCAACGCAACCATATACAGTACAACACACACATACCAGCCCACACAATATCAACGCAAAACAATGCAACATAAGCAATACCGCGCACAGCAGTACAATGCCATGCAGAACAACGCGAAGCATTGTGCAACAACGGTGCAACGCAAGTCAGTGTAATGCGGCACATGCCGACGAATTGCGGCTGAAAACAGAACAACACTCGCGAACAAGGGGAAACCAGTGTAGCGCAATGCGAAGTCATACCAAGAAACTGAACACACACATGGCTAGAGTCGCATGTGGAAAATCCGCAGGCCACTTGCTGGATACAAGATACACGTGCGGAGATCCAGCGAACTGTCCACACGAGGCTGGGGCGCTTGACGGATGCGTCATGCTCTCGCCTCGCCCAGGGCGGCTTTCGACGCAATGCGAGGGAACGCAATGTTTTGGAATCAGTGTGAATCAATGCACATGAATGCTCTCGACGCTATGCCAACCAGTCCAGACCAATGCAACGCAATGCTATCCAATGCGATGTGAAGCACGCAGCTCCAAGACACGTGCGCCAAAATCAACCAACGCAAACAGCGCAACAAAATTCAACAAAACGCGCAACAAGCTGCTACGCATCTTCGAGTCTAAACGCGCGTCCCGTCACTCGATGAGTCCCGATAGAGGAGGAATCCCGAGCCAATCCCCCCCGGACCCAACCAATTGATAAATGCTTCCCCTCCAGCCCGATAACCAACGTCCGTCGCGCGACTCTTCGAGTCTGAGCGCGCTTCCCATCCCCAAGTCGCGGATCTGCCCTGAGCCATTCCCCCGCTGAGCCCGCAAATTGACAAACATGTCCCTCTGGGTCTAAGAGCGGCAACTTTCCTGGTCTAAATGTGCGTCGCGCCCCCGCTGCTTACATTCCAGCCCAAGATCCAAGTCGTGCGTTTTGTATGTTGATCGGCGACGTGTTGCTTTTCAACGTACCAAGAAGCGACAAGACCGTCGCGAGGGAACTCACTAAAGCCTGGAAAGCTATGGCTGGCCCCAAAGAGAAACACTTCGAGTGCAGCAAAGCATTGCGCAACATCGCAATAGTAGCAAGCAGACCCTCTACCCTTAAGTTGGGCCATGGGGGGTCGGCGCGCAATGCAACTGCCAACTTAGGAATCGATTTCCGGGCTGCCAAGGCCCGCGGGTGGGGGGGGGGCAAGACCCGGCCCACGCTGCAAACTAGATTTTAAACTTTAAGAAACGGCGTCGTAGGTTATGCAACCTGCGCCAGGCTGGCGCCGACACTTAGAAATTGTTTCGCACGAGGTTTCAACTGATGCTCACTCTTGGAACGGAGGTCACGGGAACGGACATTCTTGAATTGAATAGGCTGCGGGGTAAATTCTTAAATGTATCAAGGCCTAAATCTCTGACTCAGTCTCGCACTTTCACCCTCGCCATCCTCCATGACCTGCTCTGGCGGGCCGCGCTGGCCCCAGCCCTCACATGGGCCACCGTTGTCTGGAAGCCAGAGTGTGCGCCCACCAGCCCCATCTCCTGGGAGAGTTCCAAGGCTTTGTGGTTTGGTGTCGGTGGTGTTGGGGAACCCTCTCCAAAAGTGGGGCCCAGTACGAAGTCCCGTTGGAGCTGCGATGCTGTCGTTGGCCAAGATAGGATGGGAAGTCGAAGCCCCTTTTGTCGTCAGGGGCCCCGGGGGCGCCACCCGCGCCCTTGCCTCCACCTCCCCGTCTTTGCTCCAGCCCTTGTTGCAAAGGTCGTGGGGAGAAAGAGCGCGGCGAGAAGTGACTGGACAACTCGGCTTCAGTGTCGACTTGCTCGATGTAGGCGTGGCACTGTCCGTGCTGAGCACGGGGCGGGGGCCAAAAGAAGGTTCTCCTAAAAGCGCTAGGATGAAAATATGTCTCGTGGGATGTCTTACCTAAAGGCGGTGGACTAATGCCAAGTTTGCTCAGGCAAGGCATGCTGTCACTCAGCCTCTATGCGCGTGCGGGCATCACAATGATGACATGTTACATCGGCTGTTTGAATCTCCGCTGTCTCAGCCGCTCCGGAATTCGATATTCACGCCCGATCAAAGGAACGATATCGAGCGGTATGTCAGGAAACGCTATATTTCCCTGGCTGGTTTTCAGAGGGCGCCCAATTTCAATTGCGCCCTCCAGAGGTCTCGATCCAGACGTCGCTGTTCAGCAGGCCCAGACTGCCCACAGATGGACCGTGCTACAAGTTAGGGGGCGAATGTGTTCATCATATTGGATGGGCGGCTGTTCGCCTCCAGGATAACGGTAACGGTGAGCCCTGCGCGGTTCTGTATGGAGGTGGAGAGTTTTGAACGGGAAGCCAGATTGATGACCGCGTTCCTGATGTATGTAGGTCAGGCCCTCACCTTGTGGCCCCACTTGGCAAACCCACGCGCCAGCAAACCTACGTTTACGAGAGGACCGAGGCTTTGGATCCGGAGAGGTGTGCAGGCTGCTCGAACCATCGTGGCGCAGCCTGTCGAAGGGGATCCCGGCATTCTCTCGGCAGCCGCCCCATGTCCACCACCTCTTCTTTTGATTCCTCCTCATCCTCCTTCTCCTCGCACTTAGCCGAAGAGCGGAGCCCACGCCACGCCGCAGCTGGAACCGCACAGTGGCGGCGATCGAACGAGCCTGTGGCTCTGTGAGAGCTTCGAAACCACGGACTGAATTCAGTTGGTGGTAGAGAAGCGTGGCGGCAGCAGGGACGATGAGAGACTCGGGAGACGGCGCACAGAGACCGAGGCGCAGCACGGCACAACCAGGAAGAGATCGGACCTCGAGGACAAGGCAGAGCAGATAGAGAAAACGGGCGCACGACCGGTAGTGGGAGAGACGACCACGGGCAAAATCGATCCCACACGGGATGCAGCCTACAATGCAATTGCCACCCTGCTGGAACCTATGGTCGGTGGCCCAACCGCGGGCGAGCAGCTTCAGAACAGCATTCGCTTAATGAGATGGCATGGCCTCCTCCTCCTCCTCCTCCTCCTCCTCCCGAGTCGTCCGCCACTGCCTCCGCCCGCCCAGGTCCTCCATGACTGGATCTCTGGCATCGCACTGCATGGCAGTGCATGGCCTACGTGTATGCGCAGATCCCGTGCCGGCCCAGCGGGTCCAGCTCCCGGGGCCGAACCGAGCATAGTGAGAGTTTTCTTATTCGGCGTTTCGACATTGGGCGGAAGGGGGGAGGGGACGGGGGGGGGGTCTGGCTCCGGACCTCTGCTTAACGAGACTGTTTGCAACAGTGCGTCCCATGGGGGAGACCCCACCTGCTCGAAACAGGCGCCCAAAACAGACAAGATCTATTCCATCGGGGGGACATGGGGGGCGAGGGCCCGCGCCGATCGGCAAAACAAAAATTGAGAAAACGACGACATACCAATTTAGGACAGCTGTTGCGCCAGCAGGCGCGTGCACAGGCGAGAGCCGTATGCTTCAAGCTGGTTGCTCCAACCCTCAGGGCCGCAGCCTTCACGTCACGTTTTGCCCGCCAGGTACCCTTGTCATCTGCCTCAGGTGCGATGTCTCTCGGAAGGCCAATTCTTGGCTGACCTGGGTCAGGTCTGCAAAACAACTCCATATTGCGCTCGCACAGCTGCGGCTCGGGTCAGATCCTGGAGCCACTTGTGCCTATGGCTGACCTTTCCCTGGATGCTAACGCAGGATATCGAGATACAATTTTTTGGTCGGCGGGGCGAGAGCGAACCTCGTCCGCTAAAAGCTAGGCGGGCTACGCAGAGCTTTAACTAGGGAGACAGGGCACAGGCGGGCGGGGCCTCAGGCGGCCGGAGTGGGCGGGGCGCGGGGTGCCGGATATCGAGATACAAGGGGGGCACGATTTGTGCGCCCATCGCGCCGTAGCTGGCTACCAGTTGGTGCCAGCTGCAGCCTCCCCCTGGGGGCCCCATGCCCTGGGGGACAGGGAACCGCTCCCTCCCCCATGTCGTCCCCCCTCTTGCCTCCCTTTTTTCGCTGGGGGGGGCGGTCCTCCTACGGTTTTTTGGCCCCTCCCGGGGGGGGGGGGCCTCCGAGGCAGCTGCCTCAGGACCCAATCGTCACTGCTTTCCTTCTGATGGGTGCGCGTCCAACAGTGTATCGCAATGGAAGGCGCAGCAGCAGCGGAAGCAGGGGGTAGAGTCGGGGCCTCCCTTGTGCGAGTGCGCGGCTGTCTGCCATCGCTTTAAGAGAGGATAGAGCGAGGCAGAGTAGCCATTCTGGTTGGCAAACCTCTGGGTCTACAAGAAACGTCCATCGCGCAACTCTTCGAGTCTGAGCGCGCTTCCCGTCATCTGCCCCAGTGCCTCGAAGTACGAAGTGGAGTGTCCCCCTGACTTTTAGGCGTCTCTGTACACTGCACTCAACGTTGAAGTACTTTAATCAGGGGTAGTGGGGGCCCACATCTTCTGGGCGTTCCCACGCGTTCTCGGGCTTTCTCGTAGGACATTTCCGAAGGCAAACATCGCTCCAAGACGCCCACGATGGCCCACAGACCGGCCAAGAGACCCCAACAACGCAAGACGGCTCCAAGAGGTCCACCGAGAGGGCCACGAGAGGCCCCAGAGGGGGAACACGAAACTTGACATTTCGAGCCCTTCGCGCCAAGATGGCCCCCGAGACCGCCAGCCGAATCCCAAGAAGCCCCCCCAGAAGCTCCAGGACGCACCCAAGAGGCCCAACTCAGGCCCCAAGGGGCCACCAAGAAACCCCCAAACCGAATCCAAGAGGCTTCCGAGAGGCCTGCCAAGAGTTCCCCGCAGCATCCCAGAGGTCGTTGACCTACAACCCAAGCGCGGTGGCGGGATGGGCCGAATGCCACTAGAAAGATACTTATATATATATATATATATACAAGACTGCAGTGGCGCTTCGCGCCATGCACCTTGGTCCTTGAAGTTTGGTATGCATGCGGAATAGCAGGAAAATCAAGCCGACAATCTAGAGATAACTCCTTGTTGCCTTTTCCGGCATCGCCGCTATAATTATGTTATTCGTTATCCTTCCTCCATGCTTCTTTTTCCTTATTTTCGCCATATGCGCATTCTCCGCATCCTCCTCAGCTCTTTTTTGCGGAGGCTCCTCCTTGGAGAGCCTCTGGGGGCCTCACAAAAGTTGTTTCAGATTTTCTTAAGGTCTTCTGGAGGCCTCCTGGGCATATTCTGGGGGCCTCTGGGGACTTCCTCGGGCCACCCCGCCTCCAACCGCGGTCTCCCTGAACGACCGGGTCACGACTTGGAATGCTTCGGAGGGTGTCTTGGGGCCATCTTGGGCCGCCATGGGGCTCTCTGCGGGCCATCTTGGACCCGTGTTGTGCCGTTTTGGGGCTCTCTTGGACTGCCTGGAAGCCCTTTCGGATGGTTGTGGGGCGATGTTGGAGCCTCCCAGGCGGCTTCGGACGCCCAGAAGGCCGCCGTCTTGGAGCGTCGGGAAGCCGAAAAGAGGAGAACCCCCAAATTCAGCAAAAAGCAACAGAAAATCAAAGATTTGTGCCTCTTGGGGCCTTCTTGGGAGTGCTCTTGGAGGCCTCTTTGGGGCCGTCCTGGAGGCCTTTTGGGCAATCTTGAGGTCACGTCGGCCACTCTTGGAGCGCTCTTGTGCTGTCTTGGGGGTCTCTGGGAAGTCTCCGATAACCCCCCTGATCGCCATAGGTGTGCTGGGAAGGCTTGGCAAAACGCCCTGCGAAGCCCGGGGGGCCGCTTCGAGGCCCGTCCGGAGGGTCCCAAAGCCCCAGATCCCGGGAGTCCGATTTTTTTTGGGGGGGGTCATGGGTTTCCCCCCGCCCGGGCTTGTAGAAATATAGGAAGAGGAACATATATATATATATATAGAGAGAGAGAGAGAGAGAGACGACGACGACGACGACGACGACGACGACGACGACGACGACGACGACGACGACGACGACGACGACGACGACGACGACGACGACGATTTATATATACACATATACATACATATACGTTTATGTGTATATATATAAACATACACATCGAGAGACTAAGCGATACGGGAGTGAGAGAGAGAGAGAGAGAAACAAACAGAGAGAGAGAGAGACATAAAGAGAGAGAGACAGAGACAGAGACAGAGACAACAATATGTAGAGAGATGTAGAAACCAAGCAAGGAAGAGTGATATAGAGAGAGATACGGATACCAGAGTTAAAGGGAGCCCGAACGTACAGATTTGCATGTATGCATGGACTCTGCTCGATGGCTTTTCCGCAACGGCCAAAGGGTCCCTGTCAAGGGTCAGCCAACCGAGCACGGGAGACCTATCTCGCCCCACCGCACACAAAAAGCCCTCGCCAACTGCTGCCGGGAACGCGCGCAAGAACAAGACACGAGCTACTGTTCGGAAAACAAACCTGCAAGTCAGGCTGAGCCTCGACTGGCGGGCGAAGGACGGGCGGGGCAGGCCAGCCATGACGCTGCAGGACCGCTCCCTCCCAGACGAGATTCGTTACACTATCGTTGCGGCTCCTGCCTCCCAGCTCTGGGAGTGAAGTGGTCCCACGCTGGCGGCCACTGCCCTCCCCCATGCTCCCTGCATACTGATGGAGGCATGAGACATACAATGGAGGCCAGTCCACAAGAAACCTTCCACAAGAAACCCAACCCTGAGGCACCAGGACATCCATTGATTGTTGGTGTGGGAAATTCAAGCCTTCCATGGCCAACCCATCGAAACCCAAGAAACCAGGGCGCCCTTGAGGCAAGCAAGGTGTTTCTTGGCATGGGTCTCCACTGTATTGATTCTCTGACCGTCGCTATCCCGATCCGAAGCTGCGAGTGGGCCGTGTTGGAAGCTTCTTGAGGACGTATTCAACCGTCTTCGGGCCGTTTTGGGCCGCCTGGGGCCTCTCTCGGCCGTCTTGAGCCTGATGGAAGGATCCGGGACCCCCAGTGGGGTCCTCTTTGGCTGCCTTGGGCCCCCCTTGGGGTCCTCCGGGATGCTTATTGGGCCATCTTGCGGCGTTCTTGGAGGCCTCTTCGGGCGTTCTTGGGGAGAAGGAATACTGAGACAAGCATAAAGAATCAGTGAACGTTGCCTCTTGGCGGATTCATGGGCGTCCTCTTCGGAACCCCTTGTGCCGTCTTTGTAGCTCGTTGGGCAGTTTTGCAGGCCATCTTGGGGCCAACATCGTGAGGTTACCTTGGGGCCCTGCTGGGGCATTATCGTGCGTTCGCTGGTTCCTTCGAAGCCCTCGGAAACCACACCGACAAGAAAAATCAAATTGACCAAACACATGCAGCATCATAGCGACACCTGCATGTGCTGCATGAGCTCGTCATGGTCTGTTGACACCGTCTTGATGCCACCTTGGCGCAACATGGGCTCTCTTGAACTCTTTCGGAAGCCTTATGGGAGACCCACGCGGGCGTCTGTGGATGCCTTCTTGGGCCCTCCAAAGGCCCTCTTGGGGTAGTCGTGGGCAACGTTCGGAATCTCTCGGGTCGTCATGAATGTTCTTTTGGGCGCTCATTGGCTCCTCCGAGGCTGCCATGGAGTCACCTCCAGCCGAAAGCGGGGAATGCGAAGCACACGATAGCATAAGACACTCATTGGTTTTAGGATTTCGAATGATTTTCACCCTGTGGGAGGTTCTCTTGGGGTCGGACTCTCTTGGGTCTCTCTCGCGGCCTCTTGGAGCTGCCTCGAAATTGTGGCGTGCTCTCTTGAAAGGGTCTGGAACACCTCTCGGTCTATGGTAAAACAGCCGCTCTTGGCGGCTCTGGCCGCCATGTAGGGGCTCAGGGGGATTCTCCGGGAGAGAGGAACGCTGTTGCAGCTCTGAGCGGGTCGTGCGGGGTGAGGCACTGGGGCCTCCGGGGTCGAGGTGCGCGGATAAGACATACAGGGGTGTAAGGAAAAGAAGGACAATAACATGGAGTGAAACAATGAAAGATGGTCCACTTGGATGTCGAGGCTCTGACTGCAAGCCGTTACTGCACGCAAGGCGCGCTAACGCAACCTGGACATGTTGTGACTCCGATTCATGGCAGCAAGAAGCAGGTCAGTCTTCATCAGCAGGTCGTCCATCGCTAGCCTCTCGGCGCGTCCGTAGCCGAGCAGCTCCTTCGCAACTGTCATGCAAATGGTTGCGGTGGCTACGAAGCGAATGGCCACCGTCTGAAAGAAAACCTTGCTGAGCACGCATGTCTGACCGACTGATATGCCGAAGCCTTGTCCGCGATTCGCCTGCGCGAGCATGGTCTCGACGACCTGGATCTGAATATGCAGCGAAGAGTCATAAGTGCGAGCCTCTGCAAGTTTGCTCTTCACCTCTTCGAGCTCGGACGAAATGCTGAATGGAGCCGTTGTGAGGACAACAACAATGAGGGCTGCACTGGATCCAACCCTGGCGACAGCAACCGAGTTCGCAAATGGAGAAACCCCGTTCTGAATCTTCATCACGAGACTCATCAGTACAAACGAGTCTCTTACCAAGCCAGCGCACATTAGTAAGAGCGGCATGCCAATGCATGCCAATACAGGGCACAAATCATTGACAAGTTGGACGACAGGTTTTTTCGCCTTTTCGTCGAACACTTCTGCGTCACAAGGCAACACGTCGGATACCTTCCGCAAGCGAGCGCTGCAAGCTTCAGCCACACGAGAGTACCCCCAAACGAGCCCGTAGAGGAAGAACCACTGGGAAAGCCCTTTTGGTTCACCTGACTCGCCGAAGGAACTAGCGAGAACAACTTGCAATAGTTGCGCGTCGCTTCCGAGAATTTTCTCCACAAGAGAACCTAACCGAATGATCCAATACACCAGCGATATCACAGCGAACAGCCGCTCGGCTGCATGTGTGGGGGTGATATCGGATTGGGTCGGCTGCGCGAGTGGGCTGTCGCGGAGTCGACGCACTCCCACAACTTGGCTGCATGTGAACACGGTGCAGACAGAGAGATAGAACGCCGGCTGCACATTGCGATACACCAGGGCCGCACACAGATGTATAACCTGTGCGCACGATGATGATATCACCAACAGCAGCACTGGCGCACTGGCCATGCATGTCAGAACTATGCTTCCGCCTTGCATTCGAGATGCGAACAGACTGTCGTAGGCGAATCTGCAAATGACGTATGCACAAATCGCCGTATCAGAAAGACATTGCATCCACTTCGCTAAAGACTCGGCCAACGACGGTCTCCATAATAACATCGTGTAGGACTTACTCATCATCCGAAGCTTTTGCCAAGCTCCCTCGGAATAAGGGGAACCATCGACCTCTATCATGATATCGCCTTTCTGGATTCCGGCTTGTTCTGCTTGGCTGCCTTCGGGCAAGTGTCCGCCGAAAGATCTACGTGTTGAGCGGCTTCTCGGGGCAAAGCCCAGACGTTGGGCATTCCTCACTGCCCATTTCCACGAGCCGCTAAACATTCCGCCCAACATTTCCCCATCGCTTCACGCCCCGATCACTGGAAATATGCTAGGTGACTCCCTTGCGTCGCAAGACTGGTTTCCAGCGTGGACGCCATTTGTCGCAGTTGAGTACCTGAGGGCACCTCCTGGCGACCGAAAAAGTCACTTGCGAAGGAAAGCGACACAAGGTCCACGACCCTATGACCAGCAACAGCAACAGCCAGGTCCAGCGGGACCAGACACCCCATAACAAGCGACCAGAAATCCGCCGACCCTGTCGGCGTATGCGAGGGGCTTCTCCGTTCGAGTTGTCGTCTCCGTCGTCTCCTCGTCGTCTTCGTCGTCGTCACAGTCGTCTCCTCGCCGTATCCGTCGTCCCCCGTCCCTGTCCCTGGGCCCTCCTCAAGGTGCCATCCAAAACGAAATTGTCAACGTTGTATTGGAGTCGAAGCGAAGTCCCTTTCCTTTGATCCCTTCCCTCGGGGGGGGAGAGGGGTCCCGGGGGGTGGTCCCGGGGGGTGTTCCGGGGGGGGGGTCGCCAGCTAGATTCGTTTCTCCCCGGGAGGCCCCGACATATCGAACAGCCCAAAAAGAACCCAGAGTGCCGAAGATGGCTCCCAAGATTGCCCACAAGAGCCCCGTGTCGCTCAAAGATCGGCCCAGCACGGCCAAGATGGCCCCAAGACGATCCAAGAAGCCTCCTAGACGTCCCAGAGCTCTCCAAGAACACCCCCACCAAGGCTCCAAGAGGCTCCTCCCCTCCTCCTCCTCTTCCTCCTCCTCCCCCCCTCTTCCTCCCTTATCCACCTCCTGAACCCCTTCCTCCTTCTCCTCCTGCCACTCCTCCTCCTCCCCCTGCCCCCCCCCCTCCCTTTGATCTTCGTCGTCTTCAGGGTCGGCGGCGCTGGCCGTAAGGCTTTCACAATATTAACAGCCAGGGCTAGCGGGGCCCAGGACCTTTTCGGACAGCGACTGAAAATCAAGCAAGCCAGGAGAAGCGGGACACAGGAGGCGACCAGAAATCGCAAAATGAAGGCTAGCGGGACCCAAGAACGAGCGAACGGTGACCGAAAACCGCAACAACCTGGGCCATCTGGATCCGGGACCCTCTGGGCGGCACCTGGAAACCGCAACAACCACGCCAAACAGGACCCGAGACCCCCAGGCGGCGATCTGATTTCGCTTCAATGGACCATCTGGGCGTTGACCAAACATCACAACAGCAGGGCCAACGGGAGCAAGACCACAACGGGCGGTGACAGTAAGACGCAACAACCAGAAACAGCGGGGTCCGGGGCCGCATGGGCGGCGACCACATGACCCCAGGGAAACACCCGACAATGATACTTGGAACATGTATGCTTGTTTGTCAGTTGGCGAATGTGTAGAAACGCAAATTCAAAAGACCAAAGAAGTAACGATGCCCTGTGTTCTATGCAACCCTCCTTGAGCTGGGCTGCAGCTGGACGAAGGCTGAAGCTGAAGCTGGACCAGAGCTGGGCTGAAGCTGGAGCTGGGCTGGAGCTAGAGCTGGAGCTGGGGCTGGTGCCGAAGTGAAATTGGAGGCGGGACGGAATTCTGGCACTGCGGGAAACACCAAAACGCCGGATGGCTGGCTCGCATGAGTAGACTCACGCCTTTCCATGGAAGACGAAAAGCCGAGCCCCTGCCAAGATTCGACCTGGATGAAAGAGTGGAGTTCTAGCAACAACAGGGCTGACGGGCTGTGCATTTCACACCCAGGTGATCAAAATCAGGCCCGCACATGGAGTTTTGTCAGTACGAAGTGCCGAGCCACTGTGACCATTGAATCAGAATGATTAGACTCAGTCCTGGGAATGAGACTCTGACAGTACCAATTGCTGGACGGCTGTGCGGGTTGGGCAAGACTTATTATAATCAGGCCAAGGGGGGAGCCCTGAACGAAAGAACCAAGCCCTATCCAACAAGCTGACCTCAGCATGAAGTATACGGCAAACGCCCTCCAAGACAACCCTAACAAGGGAAAGTCGCAACGACTTGGACCATCTGGACTCGAGACCCTAGGCGACAAGAAATCGAGATACCCTGTAAATCTAACGGAACCCAGGACCTATGGGCGGCGACTGAAAATTGCAACAACCTGGGTAGTGGGACCGAGAACCTATGGTCGGCGACCGTAAATCGCAACAGCCTGGGACGGGGGGACCCGGGACAACACGGGCGACGACCGGGGATTGCAACAACCTGGGCCAGTGGGACCTGGGACCCTGTGAACGGCGACCAGGAATCGCAACAATCAGGACAAACGGGACTTCGGATCCAATGGGCGCGACCAATAATCGCAGCGATCAGGGTCAATGGGATCCTAGACACCGCGGGCGGCGACCATCACTCGCAACAAGCCAGCGAGTCCGGGGACCCATGGGCGGCGACCAGGAATCGGAACAAGGATAACCACATCTTCCTACCCAAACGCGTAAGAGACCCCGAGTGCAAGGATCTTTGGAGATGCGTCTGGACTGTTCCCAATGATGTTTGGGCGAACGTTCCGAATAACCCACCTGCTGCTCCTCTCCTTCCCCCCGTTGTTTCCCGCCTCCTACCTTGCACCTGCCCACTCCTCTCGTTTGCTAGCTCCGCTCTTTTACTGTCCTCCTGACTCCCCTCTCCTCCTGTCCCCTTGCGCGACCCCTGTTGGTGAAATTGTGGCTGCTTTCCTGCGCCCCAAGGGGGCTCCCCTCGTGAGACTCGTCCACGGCTCGACCGACCAGGGCAATCAGAGGATCGGTAACGGCTTCGCGCTCGTCGTGACGTTGTCCCTGGTCAGGCGTACGGGGTCATTCGGGGGCCCTCCTTCGCCAATGTTTTATGACATCTCACGTTTAGTTTAACGGCCTGTGTACGTCCCTGGGCAGATTATACGCAAGCCAACGGCTCGCAATCTGCTATGAAGGCAGACATCCCCTTGTCAGTTCCCCGCAATATGACCATGGGGCCGACATGCGTTACGTGAGAAACAGAAGCACGCGATGTCATTGCATTGGGCTTGGGTCGATGCTTGAACACGCTCAAACTGTAGATCTTTGGGCGGCCTACCCGCTGCCTTTGCTGACGTGGTCTATATGTCCTGTACCCTCGCTGTACCTCACGCCTACAATGCCTGGTTGTAGCGTGATGGCGTAACTCTCCCCAGTTCGTTCCGCCTGGCCCCACACATTGGACTCAACAACCTGCACGGCATCCTGCTCAGAGGCCGCCCCTGCTGTCGACTCGAGCTCGTCCTTTTTTGTACCCAACGCATTTGCGGCGACAATGGGCGTGGAGGTCGAGGTAACCTCAGTAGCCGCCGCAATATGCCCTTCCTGAATGTGCAACTGGTCCTGGGGCATTGCGAGGACGTCAGAGTCGTGATCAAAACTGACATCCCTGTAGCCGTCCAGAGTAAGGGGCGCCGTGAACAAGAATATGAAACATGATTTTCGCATGCCACGAGGCATCTCCTGGAGAGTCGGCGCAAGCACAGGCTGTACCCGCGTGAACTGAATGCCATATTGCTATTGAGCCGCGATGGCTCGAGGTCAGGGGAACCTTATGGCGTTTGCCGCACAAGAGGCACCTCCCAAGAGAAAACATCGATGTTAAGCCGCTGGCCCGCTCTGTGGGTGCCACGCGGCTGCGTGGACGACATCTCAAAAGCAGATCAACCGAGCAATTTAGCAGGCAATCGACCAACATATGCATAATAATGACAATGTCTTCTGAACTCAGCTGCGCATCATAAACTCATCATTCCCTGATTACTGAGAATATGAATATATATATGGACTGAGGCATGTGCTCCACTCCGGTCCCAGAACCAACTTTCCGCCCTCACCAGTCCGTTCTCCCTCAGCTTCCGATTCACAATAAGCAAAGATGGGTCTGCGCTTCCAGGGTCGCGACCCATCGTAAAACCTGATCGGACAAGAACGGGAAGCGCTGCTGTAGTCTAATGGGCGTATTGGGCGAAGAAGAAAAGGAAGGCGAGGACAACGAGGAGTCGATGACGAAGACGACGTGGCGAACGTGAGGATAGCAAGGAGGAGCATGAGGACAACGAGGAGGAAGAGAAGCACAAGGACGAGGACGAAGAAAACGAGGGCGAGTACGAGGAGGAATGCGGAGGGCGATGATGACGACGACGACGACAGAGGACAGTACGAGGCAATTGGAAAAAGACGTTGCTCCTGGCGCCGCGCGGGGTTCTCTTGGGGCCTGTTGGGGGCTTCTTGGGGGCCCCTTGGGTCCTTATGGGCCTCTGGGGTCTTCTTGGGCTGTCTGGGCGCGTCGTGGGGTTCTGTGGGAGCTTTCTTAGGCCGTCTCGGCGCTGGGGGCCTCCTGGGGCGCTCCCGTGAGTCTCTTGGGGCCTTCTTGGCCCTTCTCGGGCCGTCTTGGGGTTCTTGTGAGCTGTCTGGGTGGCTCCTAGAGCGCTCTGCGCTTCCAGGGTCGCGACCCATCGTAAAATCCGCCGGCTCTGTTGGGGCGTGTAAGGGTGGTTCTGGGCCTGTCGTCCCGGGGTGGTCCTGGGCGACGATCTTTCACTCGACTTGCTCTTCCATTCCCAGAGGCTCTTTTTGGCTCGAGTTCGTCAATTGGAAGTGAACCGGGCCAGGTCGTAATGGAGGTTGTGGTGGTCCTGGGGGGGGAGGGCCTGGGGGGGGCGTCCTGGGGGGCATCCTGGGGGGGTAGAGGGCCCGGGGTCAGAACACGGTCTTCCCCTTCCCCCTTCGGGTCCACTTCGAGCAAGTTTGGCCCTCTTTCGGCAATCAGTCACAAATGGTCCAGGTCCCAAGAGCGCGCTACGACGGCCTCTGGTTCTCTCAAGACAGCCGAAGACATTTCCAAGACCCTTCAAGACGCCCCCCAAAGAACCCACAGGAGATCCAGAACACGCACAGAATATGATATCCTGAGGTTTTTGTCAGGTTTTCGCGATCTCGCTCTTTGGACTTCCGTCGGCCCTAGCGGCCCAAGAGGCCCCCAATACCGCCCCAAGACAGCCCAACAGGTCCCCAGGCGGCCCAAGAGGCCCCCAAGAACTCCCCAAGGGCCCCAAGAGGACCCCCAGAGAGAAAGACGAACTGGCATTTCGAGACATTGCCCTAAAGATAGCCCCGAGACCGCAAGCAAGCCCCCCAAGAGGCCCCCGAAAAGCCCATCATGAGGCCCCTTCGACGCTCTCAAGAGGCCCCAAGAGGCTGCAAAGATGCCTCAAAGAGGCCCTCAACTAACCTCCCAAGATACCCCAACAAGCCTCTAAGAAGCCGCGACCGTCCTGGGGCTTCCTCCCTGAGCCTCCTTCGGGGTCGGCGGAACCGGCCGTGAGGCCTCTCCACAGCAGTGCTCCTCCTGGGCATGCTGTTCCTCCCGCCTGCTCCTGGTCCTGCTGCTACTGCTCGCACTCTTACCTTCTTAATGCTGGACGTGCAGCAGCTCATTGCCACGAGCCAAGAGTCCAACGGCGTCGGCTGGCGCGACGGGCTTTGAGGCGGCCACCTAGACAATCCGCCGGACGCGCACCACCGCACAGGCGCTTTTAGGCGTCGAGCAGAGAAGCAAGACAAAATACAGTCAAAGCCTTGCCGTGAGAAGTTCTAAATGACGGACGAAGCCTGTTTTCTCCGCCCAATTCGGCGGATAAGATCTCTTAGCTGGGGGGCCATGGGCGACCCTGCCGATCTAATAATGTTCGTCGCCTCGGCGCCTCGCCTGCACCCGACCCGCCCTCCCCGCCTCCAGCCTTATCTCTCTCTCTCTCTCACACTCTCTCTCTCTCTCTCTCTTCCTCCCTCCTCATTGTCCTTCCCTGCTCCATCCTCATCATCCGCTTTCTCCTCCTCGTCTCCCACTCCTCCCCTCTTCTCCTCCTGCTCCACGGTCGCGCTGGCGCCTTGTAATACCACTCCGCCCAAACTCTTCCTGGCTGGCAGGACCGGGTCGTTCTGTTCCCTAAACCCAGCGGCACCCAGCCTCGAGGGGGAAACGACGCCCTTGTCCGCGCGTGCACGCAAAATGTTGGGTCGGCCGCTTGGAAGCGGTTAGCGCGATGGCCTTGCCTCACACTCCGAACAACGGTGAAAGCGCTAGCTCGCCATACAAAGCATAGCATAACACAACAACACATAACATGCAAAACCATGGCACAACACATCAGACCGTGACAGGACGGGGCATCACAAACCATACATGGATATACTTGGATATGGGTATGAAACCATGACCCAGACATTACCACACTAGATTCAGTATACCACAACATGGCATAACACAGCATACCATAACATAACATAACATAATCGAACATGCCATCCATGACAAACTTTTGCTGTGGAGAAGCAGGGCGCAATAGGGTATGGCAGAGCAGAGCATGACAGAGCATACCGTAAGTGTTCTACTACTGCTACCACTACTGGGACGAACATACTATAGCCGACTCGGCCGTAGCAGTGAATTCGATTTGAATACGATAGCAGGTCAGAACATACCACACTATAGTTCAACCCCAAAATTAAGATACATAACAGAACAGCGACGCCTATGCAACAACATCAAATAATGTGCCGCAGCTCGATGAGGCAGGTAATATACCAAATAATTCAACAACAACTCAACAAACGTGTCGCACCATACATGCAGTCTGCTGCACTACCGCTGCCTCGTGAATCAGAATGCAAGACAAAACATGCCTAGTGTGCAATCGCATTGTGGGGGCGCAATGCCAAACTGAAAGCACATACGACAATTATGTACAATCGAACACACGGCCAGGATATTATATAATATAATTTTTAGACGGGGCTAAGGGATGATATTTCGGAACGCAAGCAAGCATACCATACCAGAACTAATGACATGCGACTGTCCAACCCAACGTGATACTGTTGATGAGTACCCCACAAAAGAAAGCCAGAGTATCGTAACATAACGTAGCAGAACAGAGCGGACGACAACATAACATTCTATACTACAGCACAACAGGACGTAACACAATCTAAGATAAGTATGCAAGTAATCCAGAATCGCACACGGCTGAATATAACAGAAAAGAAAGCCCCAACCGATGAACGGTGCCCTATCAAACGCCACGTGCTCGCCGAGATCAGGCTGGCCACAGAAATAAGAGGCGCAACAACGACCGATTGGACGATGTATCGAACATGAAAGGCGCCACGATGTAACGTAATGCCCGCCCGTCCCGAACACAACAGAACGCAAACAAACATTATATAATAGAGCGCAACTGAACAGAACCGGTTGAAGAAGATCGAATACAGCAGCGGCCACTTAACGGCGCCCCATCACACGCAAGATGCAAGCCGACGTAAGGCTGCCACAGGAATCACACACAGATGGGTAAACCAAAACAGAGAGCCTGGACCCTGCCGGGGCGCGCGCGCGGGGCGAGTGCTGCGATGCGTCCGCCCCAAGCCAGGAATCTACACCCAGGTTTGGCCCAAATCAAGCAGAGTGACAAACAATGCACTGCAATACAAAGTGAAGCCATGCGAAGCAACTGAAAGCAATACTAAGCATGCAGTGCATTATCCGCCACCGTGCCCTGAGACACTAGTTGGAGAGTCTCATCAAGTCCTTGGCCTATTCCCAAGTCCTTGGCCTAACCCCTTCAACCTCAGTCCTCATTCCTGCGGATTCATTAAGATCACAAATCTCCTGGGGCTTGGCGCGTACCTCCTGGGGCTTCTCGCGGCCTGTCGCGTGACTTTCTCGGGCCCGAGAGATCCCCAAGACGGGCCAAGAGCGCCCCAAGAGACCACCACGACGATCCAAGAGGGCCCCGAATTGCCACACGATCGGTCCAAGACGCGCAACAGTGCCCCAAAACGGTCAAGGAAGCCTTCGAGGCGCCCAAAGCAAGCCCATGAGCCTTCCAAAGAGGGCCCCGAACGACCAGCATCATTTTTTGTCCTTAGGTGCTTCACTGTTTTTGGTGCCCTTGACTTGTCAAGCTTCCGACGCGCCAAGATGGCCAAAGAGGCCCCGAAGACCGCCTCAAAACGGCCCACAAGGCCCCCCCAAAGGCCACAAGACTGCCCAGGAGGGCTCCAAGACGGCCCCAGAGGCGCCCAAGACGGCCCGAACGGGCCCAAAGACAACCCCAAGAAGGGCCCAGGAAGGGGGACACAAACCGAAAAGCTAGTCTTCAGGTCTAAAGAGCCCCCAGGAGACCCCTAAGAGGCCCCAAGAGGCCCCTTATTATGCCCCAAAGACGCCCCAAGAGGCCCCAAAGCGGCCCCCAAGAGGCCTCAAACGGCTTTCGAGAGGCTTTCGAGAAGCCTCCCATGACATCCCTCCGAACATCCTAAAAACCCTATGACCTACAACCCAGGCACGATTGCGGCATGGGCCGAAAGCCATTTGATCCGCCGCCCCCGGTTGATTTATCACAAGGGTGCTTGGCGTACTAAATTTCTAACGTTTTTGTTGATTCTTGTTGCGACTCCCCCCGGGGCTTCGGCTAAGCGCGCCGGCCACTCCTCAAAATCTAATGGTCAAAGACAACGCGGGATAGCTTCCAGATGGCCCAGCAGGAGGCCCTCAAGAGGCAGGTTTTTGAAGGATTGTGGCATTTGCGTATTTTCAGCCTTCTGAGGGGCCAAGACGGCCCAAGAGGCCCCCAAGATCGCCCCAAGAGCGCCCAAGAGGCCTTCAAGACGTCCCCAAGACGGCCCAAAGGGCTCCCAAGACAGCCCCCCAAAAGGCCCCAAGACGGCCCAGTGAGGCTCCCAAGACGGCATCAGACAGTTTCAGACGGGCCAGGATTCCAAAGGCTGCCAAGAGGACCAAGAAGCCCCCGACGAGGCCTCCAAGAGGCCCCCAGGAAGCTCCCAGTAGGCCCCAAGAATGGCCCGAGATGCTCCCAAGAAGTCTCCTCGTCCTTCTCTTCATCCTCGTCTATCCTTCCCATCATCATCATCATCATCATCATCATCATCATCATCATCATCATCATCATCATCATCATCATCATCATCAGCATCAGCATCATCAACATCAACATCAACATCAACATCATCATCATCATCATCATCATCATCATCATCATCATCATCATCATCATCATCATCATCATCATCTTCCTCCCCAAACTGTTCCCCGAAGGGCTTCCAAACGGCTGGGGGAACGAATGGTGCAATAACGTGGCCAAACTTTGCCAAAACGTTTGGCCACCTAGGCGTAATTATCCTAACAGGCAGGGGGCGTCGGTGATGCGAAGTAGGCGTCTTCAATCAATTACTGCGAAAGCGAACAATCCATGCAAAACAATGCGACCTTTAACAAAGCAAACTAGACTAACGCAGACAATGCAGCGCGACGCAAAGACAACGAAAACAATGCAAAGCGATGCAAACCAAATCAGGGCAACGCATGGGACGGCAAACCAGCTCCTCAGAAGCCGAAGTGGAACGCACCGACGCAACGCGCGCCAACGGCGCGATGCAGAGCAAAGAACATCAACGCTGTGCGAAGCGATGCAGAGCAACGCAAACCAGTGCCAAGAGATGCGCCAAGCAATGCAAAGCGATGCCGAGGAGCATCCGGGAAGCCACCGAGAAGCCTCCGGGACGCCTCCGAGGCGCCCCCGAGGGACCTGGCCGGACGCACGACCACCGCCGACCCGGCCTCGGGCACGGGAGGAGAGGGGAGCACTGGGCAAAGCTTCACAGCCGAGCCACGGTCACGAGAGCAAGGGTCAGGAGCATGAAGCCCCCTCTTTCAGGGCCCAGGGCCCCACGATGATGCCCCGAACGAGGAACCCTCCCACGTGGAAGGCCCAACCGCGAAGAACACGGGAGTGCACTTCCAAAGCTAGGGCTGCTCTTGACCCTCGTGCCACCTGTGTTGGGGAACAGCTCACTGTTAGATGAATGGTGACTCCCAGGCGCTTCGGATCAGGATGGCCCCGAGTTCCTCAGAGGAGCCAAAGAGGTCCTAAGTGAGGGGGCCAAGAAGGTCGAAGAGGGTCGACGGACGTCTCAGGAAGGCCCCAAGAGCATCCCACCAGCGGTCCAGGAGAGACTGCTGATGGGAGCAAGGAGGCTTCAGATATGCCCGAGAGAGCACCAGAGACCTCCGAGACGACAGCCTACTGGGATGACCGTGGGGGGTTCTAAGGTGATAGGGGGTTACAAGTGGATGCCAGGGTGGGTTATATCTGGCCCAACCTGGCCTATAAGTGGGTTACAAGTGCCCCGACTGGCTTAGGGGGGTTAACGATCCAGGCTAAGTGGGCTCCGCCCACTCAGCGGAGTTATCTAACCTCCCTAAGCCAGTCGGGGCACTTGTAACCCACTTATAAGCCAGGTTGGGACAGATATAACCCACCGTGGCATCTCCCTATCACCTTAGAAACCCCAACGGTCATCCCAGTACAGTGGCCCCAAGAAGCTCCTAAAATGGCCAAGGCCTTGTAAGATCCAGGCTGCGACGCGGGAGCCCCGATGGGCCGGCAAGACCCCTCACAGGAGGCCCCAGCGGAGCCGCCAAAAAGGCCCGAGGGCGCGCGACAGCCCGGAGTGGGGGGAGGAGGGAAGAGGGGAAGAGGACTAACAGATGAAAAAGCGAAAGCCTGTCCAGGCACATGCGCGCGAAGCGTGCTCTGGAGCCTCGAGGTGCCAGTGTCCCACTGTCACTGCAGATCCCTCCCTCTCCCTCTCTCTCTCTCTCTCTCTCCCTTGCCTTCGCATGGCCCGAGCCAGCTGTCTAGCAGCACTGGGCTGCTCTGGCCAGGGGAAATGCCGCATGCACGGTATGTAGTGTCCAAGAGAGCTCCGCCCATGATGAAAAGGGTGCGTCGACTGGACAAGGCCACCCGTCCGAACGAATGCATTCAGATATGTCGCGACTGCACGAGACCCGTTCCTTGCACCCCCCCGTCTGCACTCACCATAATATCGGCTCTGCTGAAAACGACAGAGGGCACACCAATTTGACATCAAGACTCCATCTCGCGCCTGGCGTGGCTCGCCGAGAGATCGTGCCCAACAAGTCTGTCTGTCTCGTCGGCAACAGGCCTACATCCTTGGTCGAACCATGTACGGTTCGTTCGAGAATCCCCGAGTCCAGAACCGCCGAATGCACATCTCGCAGGGTATTGCTTGGCTCCCACCGGCGGAATCGCCACCGTTTTGCTTCCGCTTGCAGTCCGCCGAAGAAGAGCGGCTGGTTCTCTAGATGGCAGAAAAACCACCCTCAGAATGAACACACCTACAAGTGAAGCAAATTCATAAACGTGTCCAGGAAACCGAACAGGGTAGACATGCTTGGTAAGTAAGGGCCCAGGGCTGTTCAGTAAAAACCGCTTGTATGGCATCGTGCTTTCCCTCCTCCCTTGACTCTCGATCCCTCGAAAACGAAGCCCTTGATGGAACGCCTGGCATACATAGACGCATGCGATGCGCTCAAGCAGGGCCACCCTCCCTCCCTCCCTCCCTGCAGACAGGAGGAGAAAGCGTGGCATGGACAATCTAGGATCAATCAGCGTCGAACGAGGGAATCAGATCGGATCGGATCGTGCGACGGATCGGGCTGCATCGGCACGAAGTCGAAATCGAATGTGGATCGGCTGCGCCAAAATGCACAACAACGCCATTCATACTTCGGGCCGCATCGAATCAACGGAAACGCAAAATCGAATTCGGATCGGGCCGGCTGGAGTCGACACCAAAACGAATCGATCGGACGCAGTGGACCCTGTTAGATCCTTCGTGGACACCGGCAGCCGCTTGAGGATGATCGCGATGTTGCGCGCGCGGTGGTCGCTGAGCAGCTTCGTGCCAAGATTGCGGATCTGCGCCTCCAACAGGCGGCCATTAATTGATTCGTCCTCGCGCTCCTTTGCGCTTAGACATATCACGACTTCCTCAGTGGCTACCCGCAGCGAGTCGACATCTTCCGATGATATCCTCGTGGGCTCATACCTGTTTACCACCAGCTTCCTTCCCCATCGCGAATTTGATACCGAATATGTCGGTGACCTTTTTTACAGTTTGGCACACCAGTGTAATCATCAGCGCAATGTCCGAAGTCATGCGAGCCTATCTGAAGCCAGCCCATCGACGTCTATAAGCTATACGATGGCATCTATATCCAAAGCGTCCCAAGCAATCGAGGCCATCTGGACGCAAAGGAATTCAGTACTTATCGGGGCGCAGGTTGCCGCCCACGGAAACCCTGAATCCAACGTTTCGTGACGCCTCGCTTCTTCTTCTTCTTCTTCTTCTTCTTCTTCTTCTTCCGCCGCCTCTCGCCGACCTTCCGCCAGCGGACTCGCCCACTTACTTCCGCCAGACTTGGCTAGTCAGTGGCCCCAGTCTCTTTGCACCGCCCTGGGGCCTCACATGTATTGACTCGGGCGCGCACAGGGGCCCGACATCTAATGCCCGGGGCGCGTACTGGGCCCCAAACTCTGCTCACTGGGGCGCGCACCAGGGCCCCAAGCCTCCGACCTGAGGCCCCGAAGCTGCTGCCTCGGGCGCGCACTGGGGCCCCACATCGACCCACTCGGGCGCGCACCAGAGCCCCACGTCTACGAATTGGGGCGCGAGCCGAGGCCCCAAATCCACGAACTTGGGCGCGCACGGGGGTCCCAACTCTACGGACCGAGGCCACACATCTACCAACTCGGGCGCGCACCGGGGCTCCGAATCTACTGCCTCGGGCGCGCACGGGGGCCCCAAGTTTATCAGCTTGGGCGCGCACTGGGCCCCTCCAGCCTACTGACCGAGGCCCCGCATCCACAGACTTGAGTGCGCACCCGGGCCCCCGAACCTCCGACCTGAGGCCCCGAATCTGCCTTCTCGGGCGCGCGCCGAGGCCCTACACCTGCGGACCTGGGCGCGCACCCTGGCCCCAGCCACCCGAAGCCCCCAAAACTACTACCTCGGGCGCGCAGCGAGGCCCCAAACCTACTGGAACTCCCTGCGTGTGGTCCTCCTTGAAACCCGCGTGGAATCGTGGCGGAGCCTGGCGCAGAATTCTGCTCCGGTGGGCGGCCGCATGGCCTCGGTCGGTCTTCGGGCCGCGTCCCGCCGCGGAGAGACGAGGGGTCTCCCTGGTTGTCGGAGCAGCTTGGGCAAGCGAACGCGAGACCTTCTCCTCCTCCCTGTTTCCCTCTTCCTCTTTCTCGTCCTCCTCCTCTTTCCCACTTCCCGATGTACGTCCCCCATCTTTCTTCTTGATGATACTTGCCAGCGTAGATCCCAAACGGTGATTTGTTGCACTCTGTGTGTGTGATCTGTAGTGCGCACGATGTTGCGTGTGCGTTGTGCTTCGAACTGTATGTGATGCCACCTGTTAGGTGCAATCCCTGACGTGCAATTACTGCTTGGAGAACTTACAGCCATCACCCGTAATTTCTGGGCAAAACTCAACTGGCGGCTGGTGCGCGATGGTGGTTGACAGATATCGGCATTCGCGCGCGCGTGGCACGCAGAGTCCCATGTCATGTCACAGGCTGGCAAACGCCTGTTGTCATATCGTCCATTCATGGTTTCAGCGCATGCGTGCGCAGACAATCCTTTGGCATGGAAAGGCATTCGGTGCCGAATGCTTCTGGACATGTATTTGAGACTATTGACTTTCAACAACAACTGGCACGCAAGAGCGCGTGTGATCCGCATGGTGTTGACACGGGTTCCCTGGAACACACACACACACACACACACCCGTGCAAACATCGAGTGCCCTGCATACTATGAATTGGCAGGGGGGCGGCGACAACCAGCCAAACTGGGATGATACAACATCATGGCCACCATCGCGCAAAACACATATGAGACGTGAATCTATGCGAAGGCGTGCGCTTGACTTTGTCCTCGGCATGTGAGTGCATCCGACTTTCTTCTGGAGCGGAAAATGCAATGGACTAAGTGGGATCGCCACCTCCTGTGTTCGAACAAACATCCCAACCACCCACACGCAAACTCTTGGCAACACTCACCCAGCGCAATGAATCGACGACCCGTGTCATGCAAGTCCATGGTTTGGGCCGGCTGGCGATGATGGTGGAGACGGTACCGGTGACGACGACAACGAAGATGCTCATAGTGACGGCGGTGGCGGTGACGAGGGCGACAACAACGACGATGACGCTGACGATGCTGATGACGGTGGTGATGATGACGGCGGAGACTGTGATGGAGATGGTGATGATCGTGGTGATCGTGGTGATGGTGGTGATGATCGCCTGCCCTTTTCTCTCGCTCTCTCACTCTCTCTCACTCTCCCGCTCTCTGCTTCTTGTTGATCTGTATCCTCCATGTGCAATCTTTCACCGCCCAGCGAAGCCCAGTGGCACAAGGAGGAGGAGGGATGAGGGAGTGGAGGGGGAGACCGAAGAAAAGCACGGCCTCCAGAGGAGGCGAGGACTAATTCCTAATTCGTCCGGCGGGCAGGGGCGCTCCAGCAGCCGGCGGCGCACCGCCGCGCGCCAGCCGGCCTCGCTGCCGCTTGCGCGCGGGGCCCCGAGCAGCAGCAGCCCGGCCGCCTGCGGGGGCAGCGCTGGTGCCCATCCCGAGCACGGGCGGCTGGCGACGCCCCCAGCCTTGCGCTCAGCCGCCGCAGACCATGCAGGCCACCCAGGCCGGGCCCTGCGAGGCCACGTGCGCCCCGCCACGCTGCGCCCGCGAACAGCGCGGCCGCCGCACCAGGGCGCCGATGGGGCTTCGGCAGGCGCGCCCCGGGCCCCTGGCGGCGCTGCCGCGGCCACGGCGGCCGCGACGGCCGCGTCGCCCCCCTCGCGGGGCGCGCGGCGGCGGCGGCGGCGCGGCCTTGCAGGGGCCCAGCGTCGTCGCACGCGCGGCCCGCCAGCGCCAGTGTCGCCGTGGTTCGCTCTCACCGCGGCCAGCTCCACAGCGGCGAGCATGCGTTGCACCGCATGCGCTGCACCGCCTCCAGCGCCTGCAGCTGCCGCAGCCGCTCGCTGACCTGCGCGGGAGGCGGCAAGCGGCAAGCCGCAACCTTCCCGGCAAACCGGTCTGCGGCCGCGTTGCCCTGCCAGTCCTCCGCGAACAGGCCGCGCTCCCTGGCCTCGGCTTCGGCTGCGTCCAAGTGGCCCTTGACCCAGCGTGCCTGGAGCTGCCCGCTGCGACAGTGCGCGGAAAGGCGGTACCAAATGTCGGCATGCGCCCACTGGCGCGGGTCGGCGCCGCCGTGGATCGCCGCGACCCCGTTGGCCACGAAACGCGAGTCCGTGATGACCTCCACTGGGCCCGCCGCCGCGCTCAGGGCCCACTCTGCAGCTGTCAACTCGGCCCGCTGCGCGGTCTGGGCGCCGTCAACCGGGCCACGCATTTCCAGGGGCCCGCCATGGCGCCACTCCACGAGGGCACCCCAGCCCGCTCTGGCCAGCAGCGGGTCGCAAGGGTGCTCGCAGGCTCCGTCGGTCCACACGCCCGCACGCGTCGCGTGCGACCGCTCGGCAGGGTCTGGCAGGGCAGGCGGCGGCAAGGGGAGCCGCGCTTGCTCCGCCAAGGCGGCGAGACGCGGGTCCAACGGCATCACCCCTGTGGGGCCACCGCCGCTGGCAGTCGCGCCCGGGCGGCCGCCATGTACAGATGGTTCCCGTAAATTTGATATGCCCTCGCACCGCGCTCTGCACTCTATATTGTCCCAAACCTGCTCTCCGCTACGTATACACATCACATATATAGAATAGTCTCTTTCTCTCTCTCTCTCTCTCTGTTTGTGTTCTCTCTCTCTCTCTCTCTCTTCTCTTCATCTCTCTTTCTCTTTATATTTATATATATATATATATATATATATATATTTCTCTATCGATATAGTCAACGTTTTTCCTACGCTCTGTGATGTGTACTTCGACCATATATGGTCCAGGGCTTGGGCCCCCCCCCCCCAATGCTGATGCCATTGGGCCCCCCCCCCCCCCGCGCGATGGTCCCCCCCGCCCCCCCCTGTGGGCGTGGCGTGGTGCTGCGCTGCGGTTCCCCCCCCCCCTGTGGATGGGTGTGGTGCTGTGGTGGTTCAGAGGTGGGCGTGGCGTGGTGCTGCGCTGCGGTGCCCCCCTCCCCCCCCCCTGTGGATGTGGTGTGGTGCTGTGGTGGTTCAGAGGTCGTCGTCGTCGTCGTCGTCGTCGTCGTCGTCGTCGCCGTCCTCGTCGTCCTCGTCGTCCTCGTCGTCGTCGTCGTCGTCATCGTCGTCGTCGTCGCCATCGTCGTCGTCGCCGTCGTCATCGTCGTCATCGTCGTCGTCGCCGCCGCCGCCGCCGGCGTCGTCGCCGCAGCCGTCGTTGTCGTCGTCGTGGTCGTCGTCGTCGTCGTCGCCGTCGTCGTAGTCGTCGCCGCCGTCGTCGCCGTCGTCGTCGTCGTCGTCGTCGTCGTCGTCGTCGTCGTCGTCGTCGTCGTCGTCGTCTCTGGGACCATACCATCTGGGGGGGGGGTGCCCGAGGAATCCTGGGACCATACCATCTGGGGGGGGGGGGGCCCGTGGGCCCTCGAACCTGGATCATATATACCTTCTCACTCTGACCTCCCCATCCATCTTTCCAATGTGTACTCTCAGTGGTCTCGCATGCTCTCTCTCTCTCTCTCTCCAGCCCCTCTGGTCAACTTTGCTAGCAACTCTCTGACCCCTGTTCCTTTCACGATCAAAAACCCAAGCGCTTGGCCACATCCGAGACATCCAGAGCCCCCAAAGCTGGCACTGCCAGGAATCCAGAAACGGGAACTGGGAAGACGGAGGCCCACCAAATAATCTCACGCTGCCGGGGGTCCCAAAATCGGGAACTGGGAACCTGGGAACCCAGCCGCCCACCGAACCGGAAAATCGGGAACCCAGCCAACTCCACGTACTGCGGGGGACCCCGGAATCGGGAAAACGCGAAAAACCCACCGGCCTGACACTGCCGGGAGCCCCGGAGCCAAACACCGGAACCCAACCGTCCAACGAAATCGGCCTGGACCCTGGAAACGGGAACACCCTGGAACTCGGTACCAGGATCCCGGGAACTCCGCCGCCCGCCGGAATCGGCCTGGGGAGGTTCGCCAAAGCTTGCATATCCGCGAGAACCTCTTCAGTGCAAGCGCTGGCTGGGGAATAAATGATGATGATGATGATGATGATGATGATGATGATGAGGATGATGATGATGCTGATGATGATGATAATGCTGATGCTGATGGTGATGGTGATGGTGATGGTGATGGTGATGATGACGATGGTGATGATGACGATGATGATGATGACGATGATGATGCTGATGAAGCTGATGATGATGATGATGATGCTGCTGATGATGATGGTGTTGATGATAATGATGGTGACGATGATGATGATGATGATGTAGTGCTCGCGCAGACACTCTGACACATATATCATTAGACAAACACTGTGTTCAGTCCTGTGTTTGAACGCATCTACTGATTGTTCTTCTTTTTTTTCTGGGCTTGCTCTGACCCATCTGTCCGAACCTCAACGTACAAGCTCGTTGCCTGATGCAAACCTGCCGCGACCATCATGTTGCATGTCGCAAGGGGTTCTGACACAATGCCGTCCCATACCCATCCATATGTCTGACCACGTGTGTTAACTCATCGTCGACCTACCAATCTAATGCAGGTGCATTGTCTGGCGCACACACACAACATATGCAGCAATATTGTTTGCCCCCTCTTGAGGTTAATCATTAAATTGGCATTGGTATCGTTCGGCACGTTTCCAGGCTAGTATTATTGGTCGAACCAGGCATGCCACAAGCGCAACAAAGTCTCTAGTGAAGGACCTAAGCTAATCATCGTGCCCGTTCGGCTCCATGCCTGGCCGTGAACAGTACGGGGCCTATGTGCAGCATTGGCACTGCACCCAGGCACGACGACTTGGATCAGCAATTCCGGCCAATGACGTAGACACCAAATCCGACGTATCGAATCGAAACCAGTCCGACTGCCCGCGTGATGCAACCACCGTCTTGGCATATTGTCGACAGCCGCGATCGCCCACGTCTCTTCGGGGGCAAATTACACAAACCCGACTGTGCCTGCCTGAGATGGGCCTATTTACAACTATTTACGTCGATTGCGGGTATAGTATCCCCAAACCCATTTCGTGGGCCTGGCTTCGCTGACTCTTTTCTTCAATTCGTTAGGTTGTCTTTTGGCGGGACATGCCCCGCACAAGATCCTTGATAGTTGCACTGAGACTGAAGGTGTCTGGTCCCAACTTTGACTGCCACAACTCCAACGCAACCGACAAAACTTGTTGCCACCCCACTGGCGACCGCACGCTGAGGTGACACCCGTTAAATTGTACTTGTCAGGTTATATTTGTTCTTGCTGCGCTTCTCTGAACAATGACAGCGAAACTTGCCACTCCTTAGATGTCCCACATGCCCTGATTGCAGCGTTGTAGCGGGGAATGACTAATTTCACCTTTCCTTGCCTCGCCTCACAGAGTAGCCACAGAGCCTGGTCCCACTCCTCGCCCCGCTCGCACGCACTGATCCCAGCAATGTAGCTGTTGGCTCTGGGCTCCACCTTCGCCTCTCGCATTTCGCTCAACAGCGACGAGGCCTGCTGCCACTGGCTGCCTTTCCGAGTGCGCTGACCCCAGAAGTGTAGCTGATGACGTAGGGCTCAAATCTCACTTCCCACATCCCGCTGAGCAGCGATAGAGCCCGCTGCCACTGCTCGCCCCTCGCACGCGCTGATCCCAGCGTTGGAAGAGATGGCGTCGGGCTCCACCTTCGCCACCAGCATCTCGGTGAGCAGTGAGAGGGCCCGCTGCCACTGCTGGCCGTTCGCGCACGCGCTGATCCCAGAGCTGTAGCTGATGACATGTGGCTCCAGCCTCACTTCCCACATCTCGCTGAGCAGTGAGAGAGCCCGCTGCCACTGCTCGCCTTTCGCACACGCGCTGATCCCAGAGCTGTAGCTGATGACAGTCGGATCCAACCTCACTTCCCACATGCCGCTGAGCAGCGATAGAGCCTGCAGCCACTGCTCGCACTTCCCGCACGCGCTGATCCCAGCATTGTAGCTCTTGACGTCGGGCTCCACTGTCGCCTCCAGCATCTCGCTGAACAGCGCCAAAGCCCGTCGCAATTGCTGGCCCTTCTCGCACGCGTTGATCCAGGCGTTGCAACTGAAGATATTGGGCTCCACCTTCACCTGCCGCATCTCGATCAGCAGCGTCAGCGCCCGCTGCCACTGCTCGCCCTTCTCGCACGCGCTGATCCCAATAGCTGACTAGTGCGAGCCCGTGAGTTATATTCACGGTGTGCTGAGCCTGGGATCCGCACACCGTGTGTGAACAGCTCGTCGAAATTGAATACATCGGGCGTTCCTGGGGACATGTCGGGGGCATGTTGGGCCCTCCTGCGAGCCTGTCTGGAGCGTCTTGAAGGCCTCTTCAGATTTTGGGCGCCAGCCTCAGAGGAGCCCGAAAGGCTCCTACATCGGCGCTACGAAAATTTTGACCCGTTTTGTGTTTTCAGCTAAACAAAGCCTGAGCATCACATTGGTTATGAACACCACGACGGCCGTGAGCATCACTCGTCGTCGTCGTCGTCATCGTCGTCGTCGTCGTCGTCGTCGTAGTGGTCGCGGTCGTGGTCGCGGTTCTGATCGTAGTCTTGATTGAGGAAGTCCTGGGCAGAAGCGCCATTTCGAAATCGAACCCGAAAGTTTCGAATTCTGTTTTGGAGGAAGTCCTGGGCGGGAGCGCCATTTCGCATTCTGTTTTGGAGGAAGTCCTGGGCGGGAGAGCCATTTCGAGTTCGAACGGAACAGATGCCGAACCCAATTTTGCAGGAAGTCCTGCGCGGGCGCGCCATTTCGAAATCGAAGCAGAAACTGTGCGACTTCTATGTTTGAGGAAGTCCTGTGTGGGAGCGCCATTTCGAAATCGAAGCAGAAAAATTTCGAATTCTATTGTTGCGGAAGTCCTAGGCGGGAGCGCCATTTCGAAATTGAACCTGGAAGTTTCGAAATCGTTCGAAATCATTTTTTCGGGGAAGTATCAAGCGAAACCGCCGTTTCGAAATGGCCACACCGTTTGGCATTTAAAATTTTAAAAGCCCTGACCAGAAAACTCGAAAATGCAGCTTTCGCTTGGGACTTCCTCCCCAAAGCGAGCTCGACTGGATTTCGAAACCCTCGGGCTCGATTTCGAAATGTGGCTTTCGCCTAGGACTTCCTCCCCAAAACGAGCTCGACTGGATTTCGAAACCCGCGGGCTCGATTTCGAAAGGGCGGTGCCGCCCGAGACTGGAGCGAAACATGCTTCAACCGAACATTGTACTGGGTCCCCGCGGCCTAACGAGCCCACTGCCAACGTTGTACTGGGGCCCCGTCGCCCAACGGGAGGCGTTGAATTTTGGCCGAACTTTCGTAGCGGCGAAGTAGTGCGGCCCGAAAAGGCCCAAGCAGGGGCCAACAGGTGCTCCGCACGGCCCTCCAGGGGCACCCGACGGATGCTACGACATGGGTGATGGTCTGAGGGCTTCCTGATCCAGGGCTGGAGGGGGGTCCATGATCCGAAGGTTCCTGAGTGGGTCTGGGGCAGGTCGGAATGACCTATAGGGCCTCGTGTGGGGTCTGGGGCTTGTTTTGGGGCTTCCGGGTCCGGGAAGGTCCCCGCTGTCACCCCTGCCTGGGTGCCTGGCGTGGAGGTCTGAGGGCTCTCCGCTCTGGGGCTGGGCGCCCCGGGAGACTCGGACGGACGGGGACCCCGCAATGCAGAACTTCCCGCATAGGCATCGCGGGCGCTTGGCCATCCCGGGCGCGCGCCCTCTATAGGCTTGCCCGAAAGAACTACGCAGCTACGTGGAGGCATAGTGCTGTGAGAAGACGAGGCAGGGAGGGGAAGTGCACAGGTTGGGAAGACGTCTGATATGTTATGTCATGTTGTGCTCTGATGTGTCATGTCATGCTCTGGTCTGTGATGCTATGCTCTGTTCTGTCAGGGATGTTCTGGTGTGCTGTGTTCTGTAATGCCGAGCGTTGTTATGGTCTGTTCTGTCATGCTCTGGTCTGACATGCTACGTTCTGTTATGATATGCTCTGCTCTGTGATATATGTGCTGGTCGTGGGGGTCCTCTCGGGGGCAGTTCAGGAGGCAGTTTGGAAGCCTCTGGGGGACAGTTTTGGGCCTCTTGGGGCCTCTTCTGGGCCTCTTGGGGCCTCTTGGGAGCGTCTGGGGGGGCCTTTGGGCGAAAGGCTCGGATTTTCGGTTCGCGTTCCCTCTCGTAGCTCCCTTTTGGGGCCGTCTTGGGGCTCTATTGGGCCGTCTTGGGCGCCTCTTGGGCCGTCTTGGGGCTCTCTTGGGCTGTTTGGGGGCCCTCTTGGAAGCCTCTTGGGCCGTCTTGGTTCGGTCTTGGGGGGCTCGAGGGCCGTCTGGGAGCGTCGGGAAGCCGATAAGTCGAGAACGACCCTTCAAACACCAAAGGAAAATCAATAATTTGGGCCTCTCGGGGCCCTCTGGGGAGGCCTCTTGGAGGTCTCTTGGGGCGTCTTGGAGACCTCTGGGGCCGTCTTGGGCCCAGCTTGGGCGTCCTGGGCCAACCATTGAGCGTCTCGGGGCCCTCTTGGGCCGTCTCGGGGGCACCTTGGCTGGACGCTCTCGCGGGCCGGTTTTCGTGCCTCTGGGGGGCCTCTTGGGCCGTCTTGGGGCGGTCGTGGGGGCCTCTTGTCCCATCTTCTGCGCCATACTCCCGACAAGCAGTGCATGCTAAAATTGGACGCTTTTCTTCCGAAAAACAATGATTTGGACCTGCGGGGGCCATCCTGGGACGCCTCTTGAGCGTCTCTGGGGCCGTCGTGGAGGCCTCCTGGGCCTTGTCGGGGCCGTTTTCGGCGGTCCGGAGCTCTCTTGGAGCGCTCTTGGGCCGTTTTGGGGGTGTCTGGGGCCGTCCTGGGCGCCTCTGGGGCCGCGTGAGCGCCTCTGGGGCGTCCCCGGAGCCGTTGTGGGGCATTTTAAGGCGATCAAAACAGGGACACTTCCCGCACGCACGGGTCCCTGCATTGCAGAGATGACCCGTGGCCTACTGGACACAACGTCTGCTCGAACTGGAATGAGGAGTCGGGGCGGAGGTGTTGCTGGATGAGCCGAACCTTACCTCTGCAGCTGCCACCTGCGGCTGCAGGGTGCTGCTGCCTGCTGCAGACCACTGCTTGTTGACATTGCTTGCCGCTGATTGCTTCAGCTTGCTGCTGCTGCTGCTGCGTGACGCCGATGGTCCTGCTTGCTGCGGACTGCGTGCTGCTGCTGTTCTGCGTTGCCGCTTGAGGCTGCAAGGTGCTGCCTCTCGGCACCCTGGCCAGAGGGCGCACTCTGGGACGAGGAAGGGGAGGCGAGGGGCAAAGAGAGAGGCATCAGGGTCGAAGAGAGCCATGGGCAAAGTAATGGACGATCAGCGAGGAGCAGAAAGCGAAAAAGCTGGAGCGACGGCCGAGGAGAGCTGGGGGTAATGATGGAAGAGGGAGAACCGAGGAAGGAGGAGAAGGGAGGCAGGTGCCAGAAGCCAAGAGGGAGGAGCGAGAGACCAGGAGAGATGAGCAAGGAAGAGTGACCAGAGAAAAGCCATAAGCCATAAGCAAGCCATGAGCGAGAAGGGAAAGGCGAGGAACGAAGAGAGAGAAAGAGAGAGAGAGAGAGAGAGAGCGGCGAGGAATGAGGAGCGTGAAGCCAAAAGCAAGGAGAGAGACGTGATGCGGAAGGCTAGAGAAGCGGCAAACGCACGAATGTCCCAATGCCATATGTGCACGTGTGGAAGAGCAGCTGGTCTCGCAACGGGCCCCTCATAGCGCCCTCTGTGGGTCAACAAGGAGTATTGGGCCCTCTGTGTGGCCTCTTGAGTTCCCTTGACGCCCCTTCGCGCCTCCTGGGGCCCTCTGGACGTCCCTTGGGGCATGCGGGTGCTGTTGTGGGAAGGGGTCGGGGCCGCACTGAGGGGCCTTGGGGCGCGGTATTGTGTCGTCTTGTGGCTGTCGTCTGGCCGTCTGGGAACCTGGCCAGGCCACTCTGAGGCAACCTTGGGGGCGTAGTGGGCCCTCGTGGGGCCCACGTGGAAGTGCCTGGGCCCCTTACGGAACGATTCAAAACCAACAAACGGGAATAATGACAATGCATGAACAACAAACGGAATCGTAGCATCTTGTGGACCTTCGGCGCAGCCCTCGTGAAGCGGCCACCTCAGCGTCGTCAGGAAGCGTCTCGGTGACTCCATGCGGGCTCGGAGAACCCTCAATTGAGCAGGTACCGACGGTCCCGGCATTCCTATAGTCATACCACGATATGGTCTTAGAACCAAAACATGGTCTGAAAACAAAAACAATGCTCTTAGAACATAAACCCGATCTGTTAAAACAAGACAGTCCCAGCCAGGACTGTTCTAAGAACATTTCGTGCGAATCACAAGAAGTTCCCAGAACCTTATTTGCTGGGCCTATAGGCAATTCAGGACACTTCGCCACTGCCCGATCCATGCGGGTTCGGCTGGCCTCCGCCAGCCTTCTGGCGGCTGCTGCTGGCGGAGGCAGCCTGGTTTTGCTTCCACCACCTTCCGCCGATCTTCCGCCGCCGTCCGCCGAGGAAGTTCGGCGGCGAGCGAGGGGAGGAAGTGAGAAGGAGAAGGGCTCCTCGGCAGGCTCGAAGTCCCCCGGCCTCCTGAGAAGCTTTCTACACCTTCCCCGAAGACAAAAAAACACTCCTCAGAAGGCGCGAGGGCTTCCGAGAAGCCCCGCCGCCTTCTGAGAAGGCCATCTCCTTCTCATTCCCCAATCAGTGCCTGCACTGAAGGGGTCCTGGCGGATATTGAAAACCGCCGATCTGGGTAGCCGGCTGGGTTCCAGGGTTCCTGGCTCCGGGTTCCCAATTCCGGGTTCCCGGGTTCCTGGATGTTAGTTCCGGGCCGATTTCGGTGGGTTCTGGGTTCCCGGGTTCCTAAGTTCCCGGTCGATCTCCTTATCGATCTCTCTATCGATCCCATTTCAAACCATCCACTGATTTGGGTTTTTCTCTGGTGTGATTCTCCTCCCTCGCTCGACGCCTAGAAGTGGCATCGACTCCTTCGAGGCCTCGAGTGCGAGGCTCTTTCGGGCCGCTCCATGGGCCCTCCGAGGGGGCTCCGCAGTGGGGCCCTCGGGTCCCTCAAGTGAGGCCCAGGGACACACAGACAACTGCACAGAGCAATCCAAGGACTTCTCCATATATGCTCCGATATCTGTTGGGTTTTCGTTTCCCCCCCCCCCCACTTCTCCCACAGTTTCCCATCCCCTTCTGGGGATCGACGACTCATTGTGCCTGTGTGCTTGTCTCCCCTCCTGAGTCCTGGAAGCGCAGGCCGCCCGGGTCTCTCGGGGTCTGCTCGGGCAGACGCCCGGGGCGCTGTGGACACACAGGTAACTGCACACAAATCCCAGGGCTCCCCATATCTTTACCATCTCTGTTGGGTTTTCGTCTCCCCCCCACTTCCCATAGCCTCCCATCTCTTCCTGGGGATCGACGACTCATGGTGCCTGCGTGCTTTTGGGGCCCTCCTGAGTCCTGGAAGCGCCCCGAGGGCACGTCCTCCCACAGGCGGATTCTGGATGGAACATAAGACCAGTCCAAAAATTACACCCGAGAAAACGGCAATCAGTGGATGATTCGAGAATTGATATTATGGGTCTTGAGATCGACTGTGAGATCGATAATGAGATCGATCGTGGACTCGATAGTGAGGACGACTGTAAGGTCGATCGTGAGACCGAGAGTGAAATCGATTCAATGAGATCGAGAGTGAGATCGATCGCGAGATCGCTCATGCGATCTCTAGTGAGATCGCCTGTGAGATTGATAATGAGATCGATTGTGAGATCGATGGTGAGATCGGTCGAGAAATCAATAATGAGATCGATGGTGAGACCGATCGACAAGAAAATCGACCAGAAACCCGGGAACCCGGGAACCTCGCCGCCCTCCGAAATCGGCCCGGAACCCGGGACCCGGAACCCAGGAACCCGGAACCGGGAACCCCGGAACCCAGCCTGCCACCAAAATCGGCGGGGAACTTTCGCCAAATCCTTCAACATCCGCTAGGACCCCTTCAGTGCAAGCACCGATAGGGGAATATTCAAAATAGCCAAACACATGTTTAGAAAATCGTCCCCACACAATTTTGTGACTATGTTTGAATATTCCTCCTGTAGATCGAGGGACACGCCCGACTTAACCGTTGTGGACTTCTCAGGAAGCTCCAGGAGATGCTTTGAGCAGGACCCTGCCGTGACGCGCGGCCCCCCCCTACAATGTAGAAGGCCCACTGGCAGGCCCCCTCCCTCCCTCCCCTCCCTCAAGCTCCCTCCCCTCCCTCTCCCTCCCTCTCCCTCCCTCCCCCTCCCTCCCCCTCCCTCCCCCTCCCTCTCGCGCCCCGGCATAATGGTCAGGGCGGGAGGCTCTGGGCCACTCCGGGCCCCTGGGGGGGCCCTCCACGGGCCCAGGGACAAGAAGAGAGGACGACTCGGGAGGAGAAGGGACGTTCGGGGACCCCGTGCTGGGCGACCTTGGGTGGGGCGACCTGGTGCCCCAACTTTATCAGAGCGAGCGATCAGCAAGCATTCGTCACTCAGTGAAGCGGTGGCATCCAATATAAGCATACATATGCGACCAGCCTTCGGGTGAGAAGGAGATTCGGGGGAGGGGGAGGAACCAATGTCTCACCCGATCGGTCTCACTATCAATCTCACTACCGATCTCACTATCGGTCTCGCTCGATGGATCTCACTCGATCGATCTCACAAGCGATCTCACTCGATCCACTTCATTCGATCGATCTCACAATCGATCTGACTATCGATATCACAATCGATCTCACTATCGATCTCACTATCGATCTCACAACCGATCTCACATTCGGTCTCACTATCGATTCCACTATCGATATCACGATCGATCTCACAATCAACGTCATCATCTGCATCATCACCATCATCGTCATTCTCGTCATCAACGTCATCAACAACATCATCATCACCATCATCATCATCATCATCATCATCATCATCATCCTCATCCTCATCATCCTCATCCTCATCATCATCATCATCATCACCATCATCATCATCATCCTCATCCTCATCATCATCATCATCATCATCATCATCATCCTCATCCTCATCATCATCATCATCATCATCATCATCATCTCATCACCATCATCATTAACATCATTTGGGGATGGGCAGACCTCCCTTTAGTACAACGTGATTTAGTGAAAACGACCTCGAGCCAAAACCTGGCGGGCACAATCATGCAAAATGACGGCCGCGGCGCCCTCTCGAGAACCGAAAACGGGCAATTCACCAATCGACGTGTCAGGGTAGGAGGTCTGTCCACCCCCGAATCATCATCACCATCATGACCATCATCATCAGCATCGGGCCACCATCATCGTCACCATCATCACCATCATCATCATCATCATCATCATCATCATCATCATCATCATCATCGGGACACCATCATCATTATCAGCACCGGCGCACCACCATCCTCACCATCATCATCATCACATCACCATCATCATCATGAACAACATCATCATCATCAACATCAGCATCATCATCATCGGGACACTATTCTCAACGTTACAATCATTATCACCATTATCATCATCATCATCATCATCATCATCATCATCATCATCATCATCATCACCGGGGCAGCATCATGATCAACATCAGCATCATCATCATCGGGCCACCATCGACACCTCATCATGATCCTCATCATCAAAATCATCATCATCAACATCATCATCATCAGCATCATCATCATCATCTTCCTCATCATCATCGGGACACCACCATCGTCACCATTATCATCAACATCAACATCATCATCAGCATCGTCATCCTCACCATCATCATCATCACATCACCATCATCATCGGGACACCATCGTCATCATCATCACCATCATCATCATCAACAGCATCATCAATATCATCATCACCATCCTCATCGGGACACCATCATCATCATCATCTTCATCATCATCGGCATCATCATCATCTCATCATCTTATCATCATGAACGTCATCAGGATCATCATCGGGACACCATTATCATCATCAGCAACATCAGCATCATCAGCATCATCAACATCATCGGGACACCATCCTCATCACCACAATGGCCATCAGCAGCACCATCAGCATCATCATCATCAACATCGCCAGCATCATCATCATCATCATCGTCGTCATCAGCATCATCATCATCATCATCATCATCATCATCATCATCATTATCATCATCGGGACACCGTCATCATCACCACCATCACCACCATCACCAGCATCAACACCATCGACATCATCATCATCATCATCATCATCATCATCATCATCATCATCATCATCACCAGCACCATCATCATCGGGACACCGACGGGACACCGGCGGAACACCGCGCCCCACCGGTGGGCCCCAGGAAAGGAAACATTTGGTCCGGTCGCGCCTCAGCCAGAGGCGGGACATCGGCGGGACACCGCGTCCCACCCGCCCCCCGAAAAGAAACATTTGTTCCGGCCGCGCCTCAGCCGGAGGAGACTTTCTTCTCGCCCGCCCACGCAGCTTCGCCTCGCCCGCACGCACGGCACGCACGAACACGAAACCGAAACCGATTTCCCGGTAGGGGGGCTCTCCGTTCCACTTCGATCTCACCCCCTCACCTCCGATCAAAAACGTATTTTGCTTCGAGCGGTCCTGACAGGAAAACCTTCGGCGCTTGCTCCCAGCGGGCGCGGCGCGCCTCCTGGAACCGAGGTGCGAAGGGGCCCGGCGTCTCGGCCAGCGCAGCGCGTCCGGGCGCCAGGTCGCGGCGTGAGGTCTTCCGAAAGCCTAACAGCCCCAGGGACCGTGACGAAGGAGACCGAAACACAAGTCCCCGGAGCGACCAACCAGCCCCCCAAAGGACCTTTGCGAAACTCAGAGAACATGTTCGGAGAGAACCTGCAGCCAGTTGAAAGAGCAAGAGGAGGAGCAGCGGCAGCAGCAGCACGAGGAGGAGGCGGAGGAAAAAGAGGAGGTGGTGGTGAGGCGGACCTCTCCCTACGCCCCGTCCTCCTCTGACGACGGGGCGCATGTCGCGTTTGATGAGACGCCGTGGAGTGGTGGCCGGCGTATACGTAATATTGTGCTAGATTATGTTCGGTTCGGTTCTGGCCCGGTGTAGTACCGGGGATCTGGCGGCCGCGGTATGCGGAGTGGACGGGTCGGGAGGTCTGTTCATCTTGAAATCTAACTACCCCAACATGTCGGGTGCGGAATTAGAACATCGCATGTCTAGGGAAGCTAGGACTGGCCTGTGCGTATCATCCAGTTCGCTCTGGAATGCACTTCCACAACTCGCTGAGGACAGTCTTTCTGATCGTACCCCTGCAGTGCCCGACTTGCCAAGCAACGAGACCACCTCATCCTGGGAATGCCTGACATAGTCGCCGCAATGGCCCCTAAATGCAATAGACGAGCTAGAACTCCAGCTACGCTTCGCCTACATCTGCGGTGCGACATAGTGCGCGTTGTCATTACCAGCCGTCCCACCGCTGGATCTCGCAAGGAAGCTCATGACGTCGAGACCAGAATCGACTTGCAAAACAAGCAGCCTGCACCAACAACACACGTTTCTAACACCAGCCTGTTCTCGCAGCTCTACTCGACAAAGTAGCGCCCAAACTTCAACGACAATTCATTGAGGACTGACGATGCCATTTGCCACTGCCCGCCCATCTCGCATGCATTAGTCACAGTAGTATACATGTCAGCGTCCGTATCCAAACCTGCCTCCTTCGCTATGCTGAGCAACGACAATACCTGCTGCCACTGCCCGCTGTGCTCACACGCTAGCATCCCAGCGTTGTAGCTGATGGCATCGGGCTCCAGCTGCGCTTCATTTACCTCGCAGACCAGCGCCAGAGCCCTCTGCCACTGCGCACCCTTCTCGCACGCGCTGATCCCAGCGTTGTAGCTGACTAGGGCAGACCTGTGGACTCCGTCCACGACATCAGCTCGACGTAGCGAGGGGTCTCTGGGCAAGCGCGGGGGGGTGCGGCTGCAGGGCCGAAAGGCAATCATGATGCCTGTCGCCTCTCGTCCGCTCCCCCGCTCCTGGAGGGAATTCTGAAGCCACTGAAGGCTTCGTGGGGGCCGTTTCGGAGCCTCTTCGGCCTTCTTTTGGGCCTCCTGGGAAGGCTCTTAGGGCCCTCTCGAACCGTCTTGGGTGCCTCTTGGGCCGTCTTGGGGCCGTCTGAGGCCCGCCTGGGCGCCTCTTGGGCTGTCTTGGGCCGTCTTGGGCCGCTCTTGGGGCCGTCTTGGGTGCCTCTTGGGCCGTCTTGGGCGCCTCCTGGGCCGTCCTGGGGCCGTCCTGGGGCGTCTTGGGACCGTCTTGGGGCCCTCCTGGCCCGCCTTGGGGCTCTCTTGGGGTCCTCTGCGGCCGTCTTGGAGCGGTCGGGGGGACTTCTGGGGCCGTCTTGGAGCGTCGGGAAGCCGAAGAGGCGAGGAGGCCGAAAACATCGAAAAACACAATAGAAATCGACGATTTCTGTCGCTCGGGGCCCTCTTGGGAGGCCTCTTCGGGCGTCTTGGACGCCTCTTGGGCCGTCTGGGGCGAACCTCGGGCGTCTTGGGCCCACCTTTAAGCGTGCCGGGGCTCTCCCGGGCCGTCTTGGGGGCTTCTGGGGGCCCTCTCGATATGTCCTGGAGCCTGCCTGGGCGGCCCGGGGCGGCCCGGGGCCAGCCCGGGGCGGTTTCGGTGCATTGGGGCCTGCGCCCTTCTGGCACGCACTGGGCCCTGCAATGTAGTAGAGACTAGTGTGTACCCGTGGGGTGGATCACCACCATCGAAGCACAGGGGGCAGTGCCTGTAAGGCAGGGTCCAACAACCTGTCACGAAATAGGGTCTTGCTTGTGACAGGTTGTTGACTACTTTTGGAACATTTGAAGGCTCTCCGTGGCAATCGTCGTTGTCGCCGCCGTCGTCATCGTCGCCGGAGGCGGCATCGACGACGACGACGACGACGACGACGACGACGACGACGACGACGACGACGACGACGACGACATTCTCGCTGAAGGAAAAGTTTGGGCTCGCAGGCCCAAGAGGGCCGTTCGGACCAGGCAGCTGGCAGGATCCGTTGTTTTTTCGGTGGCCCTAAGAGGCCGTACGGCCAGAGAAAAAACAGGGGGGCGGCCCGCCGACGACGACGATGACGACGGTGGCGACGACGGGGACGACGACGACGACGACGACGACGACGACGACGACGACGACGACGACCACGACGTTCTCGCTGAAGGAAAACTTGGGGCTCGCAGGCCCAAGAGGGCCGTTCGGACCAGGCAGCTGGCAGGATCCGTTGTTTTTTCGGTGGCCCTAAGAGGCCGTACGGCCAGAGAAAAAACGGGGGGGCGGCCCGCCGACGACGACGACGACGACGACGACGACGACGACGGCTTCTGGAGTGGCTGTGCACCGCGTCGCCCATGGTGACAGAGGCAGGTGGAAGCACCAGTCGATGACGAAACTCACGACCGAATCCGCAACCTCCGGTAGGGAGGTCAGGCGTTCAGGTGTGGCCCGTCTTGGCGGCGCTCCCCTGGCTCACTTGGGGCTCTCTGGGTAGCCTCTTGAAGAGTCCTTTTGGAGCTCTTTGGGGCAGTCTCAACGCTCTCTGGGGCCATCCTGGGGCACTCTTGGGTCGTCTTGGAGGGCTCGGGCTGTCTTGGGGCCCTCGTGCTGCCGTCTGGGGCTCCCTTGGGAGCCTCCCGTGGCCCTCTCGGGGCTTTCCTGGGCCGTCTGGGCGTGCTCTTGGGTGCCTCTGGGGCAGTGTTGGGGCGGTTTGGGAGGCTCATCCAGCCTTTTTGAACGCTCTGCCGACCCAGAACGCGACTCTGGCAAAAATGTACGTTTTCCGAAAGGAATGGGGCGATGTTTGTTTTGTGGGGGTCCTTTCGGAAGCCTCAAGGGGCGGCTTCGGAGCGTCGCGTCGATCTGGAGCGGTCTTGGGCCGGCCGCTGCGCGATCGGGGCCGCTCCGAAGGCTCCGCGGCCCGCGGCGGCCCCGGGGGCTGCCCGGGGCGGCCCGGAGCGCCGAAGGGCTTGCTGGGAGCGGCCCGGAGGAGGCCGGCCGGTTCGATGCCACCGAAAGCTTCGCCACACGCGCTGAACGCTGCATTGTAGGAGAGAAGACTAGTGTGAGCCCGTGGAAAATCCACGGCCCGCAGGTCCAGGCGTTGGTCCCGAACGCGCACGTGTCGGAAGCGCTGGAAACGTCAAAGTAATGTGTTTTTGCTAATCGCGCGAGGCCTGGGCGCGATTAGCAGAAACACGTCGGTTTTCAGACACAATCAGAGTACGGGGGCCCGAACGATCTTACAGAGCCCCTCTGCGCGAGAAGTTCGATGTGGGGGATGGACGCGTGGGGGCCAGAGTTGGGCGTTACGTTTGGGGGCCTCGTTTGAGGGCCACGTTGGGGGTCTCGTCAGGGGGTCATGATTGGGGGCAACGTTCGCGGCCCTGCCGGGGGCCATGTTTGGGGGCCGCGTGCGGGGTTCGGGGGCACATGTGACGGTCGCGTTTGAGGGTGCGGGGTTCGGGGGCAGATGTGACGGTCACGTTTGAGGGCAATGGTTGGGGACTGTGTGTCTTGGGGCCACGTTTGGGGGCGCCTGGGGGCTACGCGTGGGGTTGACGTTCGGGGGCCACGCTTACTGGGGCGGTAGGGGCGACCTTCGGAGGCTTTGTGTGTGGGGGCCGCCTTTGGGGGTCCCGTTTGGAGGCCACGCGTGGGGCCGACGTGTAAGGGGCCACGTCCATGGGCGATCTCAGAAAGCAGTCGGGGAGCCCCGGGGGCACTGACCTGGAAGCGTGAAAAGGAATGGGTTTTGCTAATCGCGCTGGGACTGTGCGCGATCACCCCAAACTCAAGGCATGGTCCACGGGGCCCTCGAGGCACGTCTCTGGGCCATTTCGAGGCCGTCGTGGGGCTCTGGCCGAATCGGCTTCGTCTCTTGGACATCTCTGGGGCCGTCTTGGAGCGATGTGGGGGTCCGGGAGCCGTCGGGGAGCGCTCCAGGGGCGTCCTGGGGGCGTCGGGGAGCGGCTCAGAGCTCTGGCAGGTCGAAGCCAGCAGAACCGAGAGAGCAGCGGTGAGGCCCCCGATACAGCCAAGGGTGCGGGTGCTGGTATACGTAGGGTCCCCGAACCGGCTGTAGTGGCCTGCGGGCAATCTCGCCGAGGGCCTGGGTAATGGGTAAGAGATCTCGTGGATGTTGGTTGGGATCTCGTGGTTGGCCTCTCGGGAGTCTCTGGGGGACAGTTTGGGGGCTTCTTGGTAGCAGTTTGGGGGCGTCTTGGGGCCTCTTGGGCCCTCTTTTGGAGCCTCTTGGAGGCCTTTTGGGGCGCTTGGCGGCCTCTGGGGGGCCTCTTGGAGCCTCTGTGGGGCGTCCTGGGGCCTCCTGGGGATGTCTTGGGAGCGTCCCAGCGTTTCTTTGGGGCGTCTTGGGGCTTCCTGGGGGCCTCTTGGGGTGGAGGCCTCAATTTTTCGGTTCCTGGTCGAGGGCCGTCTTGGGGCCGTCTTGAAGGCCTCTTGGGCCGTCTTGGAACGGTCTTGGGGGCCTCTTGGGCGGTCTTGGAGCGTCGGAAAGCAGAAAAAGCGAGAAGGCCATACACATCGGAAAAAAACAAAGAAAATCAACGAATTTGGCTTCTGCGGCCCCTCTTGGAAATACACGTGGAGGCGTCTCGGGCCGTCTTGAAGGCGTCTTGAAGCCATCTTAAGCGTCTCGGATACACTCTTGGACCGTCTTGGGCCGTCTTCGGGACCTCCTGAGGCCGTCTTGGGGCGATCTGGGAATCCTGGATCAGTCCGCGAGCGGTCCGGGGGCCTCCTTGGCCCGTCGGGCAGCGGCCCGGAGGCTCTCCGGGCGGCCCGCGAGCTCTCTGGGCGGCCTGGGGCGCTGCCACTGCTTGTACTTCTCGCACGCGCCTTGCCCGGAATTGTAATACAGATGACGTTGGGCTCCAGCTTCGCCCCCCGCATCTCGCTCAGCAGCGCCAGGGCCCGCTGCCACTGCTCGCCCATCTCGCACGCGCTGATCCCAACGCTCCAGCTGATTAGTATGAACCCGTGGAAAATCCACGGGCTGCTGTGCAGAAGCCGGGTGGCCGGTAGGGACCACGTCGGAATCTTTACGGGGACTCGTGCTGTTTTTCGAGGGTGGGCCCTGGGCCTCCTTGGGAAGCTTCGGTGAGTCATCGGGAGCCTTTGGGGGATTGGGCTGTTTGTGTGGGCAGTGTCACACAATGTCCGTGAGGGACATGGGGCGGCAGTTCGGTCCTGGTCTCTTGTGCGAGACCCTTTGCTTCGTCTTCGCACCGTGGACGCGGGCCCCCCAGAACCGAAATTGGGAACGTGCCTGTGGGTCCAACGCCGTCACTTGCAATCGAACGCCTCGAATGAATACCCTGTGGCGGTTTTGGTGGCCTCTTCGAATTTCCTTCCCGCCGGTCTTCTGGCCTGGCATCCTCCTCTTCCGATTCTGGGTGGTTGCGGGCCTCTAGGGAAGTTGTTGGGCCCTTTTCCGTGGTTCTGTGGATGTTTGTCAGTTCTCGTGGGAGCTTGCGGGAAGCCTCGGGAGGGTGTCCGGGATTCTCCATGGGCTATCGGGGGGGCCATGAGACTGGTCGGCGAGAGAGGTATGCCACGGTGCGCCGCTGGCGGACAGAATTGTGGGGCGTCAGGGGGAGTTCTGAAACGTGTCGAGGGGCTGTTTGGTGGGCAGTGACCTCCTGGGTGTCTCGGGGAAGCTTTGGGGGCTAAAGTGAGGGTCCCCGACAGTTTCGTTGACGGGGATGCCGCGGCATCGCGCTACCAGGCCAATCTTCGCGTCGGGCGGCGAGGTGTTTCGGAAAGCTCTGGAGTCCGAGGTGGCTGAGCACGGCGACGACGGCGAGCAGAACCGCGACGGCGGAGACGATGACCAAGACGGCGACGACGACGGCGGCGACGCTCGACGACGACGACGACAACGACGACGACGACGACGACGACGACGACAGCGGCGGCGGCGGCGGCGGCGGCGACGGCGACGGCGACGGCGACGACGGCGACGACGAGTCGGTTCTGGTGGGAGCTTGCTGGAGGCCTCGGGAGACTCTGGGGGACACTCTAGGGGCTATCGGGAAAGCCGCGTGACCTCGAGGGGAGCTCCCCGGCGATGGCGGCGGCGGGCGGCGAAGGCGACGGCGCGGGAGCGCGTCTGCGTCTGCTGCCAGCAGCATGTCCCACTGCGCTCTTAGGACGGGGCGCGCTTCAGGTCAGGCGTGGAGGTGACGAGGAAAGTATGGCTCGAGCGTCGGACTCCCCAAAATCGGCAGGGTAACTCGGGCCGTCTTGGCGACGCCTCTCGTGGCCTACTTGGGGCTCTCTGGGGAACCTCTTGCGGGGTCCGTTTGGGACTCTTCTGGGGCGTCTCAGGGCTTTCTGGAGCCGTCCTGGGGCCCTCTTGGGCTGTTTTGGAAGGCTCGGGCTGTCTTGGGGTCCTCGTGGGGCTGTCTTGGGCTCTCGTGGGGGCCTCCTGTGGCCCTCTCGGGGCCTTCCTGGGGGCCTTTTCGTGCCCTCCGGGGTCCGTATTGGGCTGTCGTGGGGTTCCCTGGGGCCGTCTTGGCGCCCTCTTGGGCCGTCTTGGGGCTCTCTTGGGTGCCTCTGGGGCACTGTTGGGGCGGTCTCGGAAGCTCTTCCGGCCGTCTTGGCCGCCCTGCCGACCCCAAAAGCGAGCCTGCCAAAAATACACGTTTTCTGAAAGGAATTTTGCGATTTTTGGCTCCAGGGAGCCCTTTGGGGGGTCTCAGGGGGCGGTTTAGGAGCGTCTGGGGCCGTCTTGGAGCCGTCCGCGGGGCGTGCCGCGTCGATCTGGGGCAGTCTTGAACCGTCCGCTGCGCGCTCGGGGCCGCTCGGAAGGCTCGGCGGCGGCCCCGAAGGCCGCCCGGGGCGGCCCGAAGCGCCCGAGGGCCCGCTGGGAGCGGCTTGGAGGGGGCCGGTTCGCTGCCACTGCTCACCAATCCGGGGAGCGGTGAACGCTGCATTGTACGTTGATGGGTGCGGAGTTATAAGTAGTTATAGATTAAGTAAGTGGTTCTATTGTAGGAGGGGTTTGGATGAGTTAGGATTGGTTAGGAGGCCCAATAGGTTCCATAGGAATGCCGATAGTGATAGTGCCCGATAGCCCCCCCTGTGTTTCACTATAGGATCTATAGGAGCTTACAGTGTCCTATCATCAGCTGAACTTGGAATCCCTAAACTTATGTATTTTCCATTTTTCTCTCTCTCTCTCTCTATATATATTCACCATGTTTTACTATTTTTCACTATTTTCACTATTTATCACGATGTTTCCATTATTTTTCCATTATTTTATTGTTTTCCTTTTTCTTACTTTTCAAAATTCAGACATTGAAACAAGTCTGACCGACGCCAGAACGTTGTGCTCCAAGGGAGAAGAAGGAGAAGGAGGAGGGAGGAGGAGGTGTTCAGCTCCTCCTCCTCCTCCTCCTCCTCCTCCTCCTCCTCCTCCTCTTCCTCGTCCCCCTCCTCCTCCTCCTCCTCCTCCTCCTCCTCCTCCTCCTCCTCCTCCTCCTCTGCCCCCTCCTCCCCTTCCTCCTCGGCGCCCCTCTTGGGGCCTCGGCACCCCCTTGGTGCTGGCACTCCTGGGCCTCGGCACCCCCAAATCCGAAGCTCCGAAACTCCTCCCATTCCTCTTCCTCCTCCTCCTCTTCCTCCCCCTTCTCCTCCTCCTACCCCTCCTCCTCTATCCTCTTTCCCCTCCTCCTCCCCCTCCTCCTCCTCCCCCTCCTCCTTCTCCTCCTCCTACCTCTCCTCCTCTATCATCTTTCCCCTCCTCCTCCTCCCCCTCCTCCTTCTCCCCCTCCTCCTCCCCCTCGTCCTCCCTCTCCCCCTCTTCCTCTTCCTCCCCCCCCCCTCCTCCTCCTCTATCCTCTTGCAGCTCCTCCTCCTCCCCCTCCTCCTCCTCCTCCCCCTCCGCCCCCCCCTCCCCCCCCCATCCCCCTCCTCCCCCTCACACTGGCAGCAGGCTGGATGTTAGCTGGATGTTGTCTGGGCGTTGTTGTCATGTTGTTTTGTTGTTTGTTGTTGTTTTTTGTTGCTTTATGTTGTTTTTATGTTGTTATTGTGTTGTTGTTGTGTCGTCTTGTAGGGCGGGCGCCAGACAACGCCAGACAACGCAAAAACAAGGCAAACACAACACAACACAACACAAACCAACATGTTGTGTTTTGTTGTTTTTGTGTTGTTTTTTTGTTGTGTTGTGTTGTTTGTTTTGTTGTTTTTGTGTTGTTTGTTTGTTGTCTGGTGGTGTCGTCTCTTGTTTTCCATGTGTTTGGTTTTTCTCCTCCGTTTTTCCGTTTTTTTGTTTTCTGTTATTTTCTTTTTCCCTCTTCTGACTACTGTTACCCCCCCCCCGCCCTCCGTCACCTCCCTCATCCGTTTCCTCCTCCCTCCTCAGCGGGCCAACCGCTTTGCGTTCGCTTCCCTCCTGCCTCCCCATTCTGCTCCTCAGCGGCCCAACCGCTTTGCATGGGAGGAGGAAGGGGAGGAGGAGGAGGAGGAGGAGGAGGAGGAGGAGGAGGAGGAGGAGGAGGAGGAGGAGGAGGAGGAGGAGGACAGGATAACGATTTCGTCGCAGCCGTTTTTGGTTTCAAGTTTTTTTGAATTCGCCCAACCGAATTCGAGAATTCGTTAAATGGCTGCCTGGGATGCTCGCTGCGCCACGTGCGGCGCCCTCGGCCCCGCAGCCACCATGGACGTGTGGCACTTCGCGCAGGACGGCTCCTGGTGGCATCGCTGCTGCCTGCAGTGCGTTCGGAATTGCCGAGCGAGCTGGTTTGTGTTTTTTCTTAGAATTGGCTATTTTTCATTTTCACTACTTGTTTCACTATGTTTTCACTATTTTCATTATTTGTACTAATATCACTATTTAACACTATTGTTTTCACTATTTTTCACTATGTGACTACTAGTTTTCTATTGTTTAGTGCATGTTGATAGGATCCTATAGTGCACAATAGCTATATATAGTGTTTCATAGAATCCGCACCCATCAAAGTAGGATAGATGACGTCGGACTCCAGCTTCACCTCCCGCATCTTGCTCAGCAGCGCCAGCGCCCGCTGCCACTGCCCGCCCTTCTCGCACGCGCTGATCCCAGCGCTGTAGCTCCTGTGGTGTGATCACCGCTATCGGCGTTGAGGGGGGCAGTGCTTGTAGGGCGTTCCTCCGCAAGCATGTGGCGTCACTCCACTTGCTCTTGGGATCTCTTGGAATTTCCTTGATTCTGTGCGGGCCCCTGGGGAAGCTTTCGGGGACCTATTGGGTGGTTCTCGGGCGACGATGCCAACGACGACGACGACGACGACCTCGGACTTAGACCCTTCAGCGGTTGTCGTGGCCTCTTCGATTGTCGTCGCCTCTTCGAAAATCCTTCTGGTCGGACGTCTGGCCTTCAAACGCCCGTTACGATTCTGATTGTGTGCGGGCCCCTTGGGAATCTTTGGGGGACCTCTTGGGTCGTTATTGGGGCTCGTGTCGGTTCTCGTGGGAGCTCGCTGGAGGCCTCGGGAGACTCTGGGGGACACTCGAGGGGCTATCAGGACCTCTTGGGCTAGGGAAGCTTTTAGGAACTTCTTGGGTGGCTCTCGGGCGACGACGACGACGACGACGATGACGATGACGACGACGATGATGTTGACGACGACCACGACGTCGACCTCGGATTTAGGGAGACTGCTAGAGCTTGACGACGACCACGACGACGACGTGGGAGCTTGCTGGACGCCTCGGGAGACTCTGGGGGGCACTCGAGGGGCGATCGGGACCTCTTGGGTGGCTCTCGGGCGACGACGACGACGACGACGACCTCGGATTTAGACCCTTCAGCGGTTGTCGTGGTCTCTTCGAAATTTTTCCCGCCGGACTTCTGGCCTTCAACCGCCGCATGTTTCGATTCTGATTGTGTGCGAGCCCCTTGGGAAGCTTTTGGGGACCTCTTGGGTCGTTATCGGGGCGCGTGTCGGTTCTCGTGGGAGCTTGCTGGACGCCTCGGGCGGCGACGACGATGACGATGACGACGACGTTGACGACCTCGGATTTAGACCCTTCAGCGGTTGTCGTGGTCTCTTCGAAATTTTTCCCGCCGGACTTCTGGCCTTCAACCGCCGCATGTTTCGATTATGATTGTGTGCGGGCCCCTTGGGAAGCTTTTGGGGACCTCTTGGGTCGTTATCGGGGCGCGTGTCGGTTCTCGTGGGAGCTTGCTGGACGCCTCGAGCGGCGACGACGATGACGATGACGACGACGTTGACGACCTCGGATTTAGACCCTTCAGCGGCTGTCGTGGCCTGTTCGATGTCCCTTCCGGCTGGACGTCTGGCCTTCACACGCCTATTGACAGTGTGCGGACCCCTAGGGAAGCTTTTGGGGATTTATTGCGTGGTTCTCGGGCGACGACGCCGACGACGGCGACGACAACGACGACGACGAGACGACGGCGACCTCGGATTTAGGCCCTTCAGCGGTTGTCGTGGCCTCTTGGAATTTCCTTCCGGCCGGACGTCTGACCTTCAAACTACTGTTACGGTTCTGATTGTGTGCGGGCCCATTGGGGACTTTTGGGGACCTCTTGGGTGGTTATCGGGGCTCGTGTCGGTTCCTGTGGGAGCTTGCTAGAGGCCTCGTGAGGCTCTGGGGGACACTCGAGGGGCTATCGGGACCTCTTGGGTGGTTCTCAGGCGGCGACGACGTCGATGACGACAACGTTAACGACGACGACGACCTCGGATTTAGACCCTTCAGCGTTTGTCGTGGCCTCTTCGAATTTCCTTTCGGCCGGACGTCTGGCCTTCAAACGCCCGTTACGATTCTGATTGTGTGCGGGCCCCTTGGGAAGCTTTTGAGGACTTTTTGGGTGGTTCTCGGGGCTCGTGTCGGTTCTCGTGGGAGCTTGCTGGACGCCTCGGGAGACTCTGGGGGGCACTCGAAGGGCTATCAGGACCTCTTGGGTGGCTCTCGGGCGACGACGACGACGACGACCTCGGATTTAGACCCTTCAGCGGTTGTCGTGGTCTCTTCGAAATTTTTCCCGCCGGACTTCTGGCCTTCAACCGCCGCATGTTTCGATTCTGATTGTGTGCGGGCCCCTTGGGAAGCTTTTGGGGACCTCTTGGGTCGTTATCGGGGCGCGTGTCGGTTCTCGTGGGAGCTTGCTGGACGCCTCGGGAGACTCTGGGGGACACTCTCGAGAGCCGCTTCGCTGCAACTGCTCGCCAATCCGGGGAGCGGCGAACGCTGCATTGTAGGATAGAGGAGAGAAGGCGACTTGGATGGGAAAAAGAAAAGTGATGCAAGTGCCAAAACAATGCGGCTCCGACGCGTGCGAGGCGCACTGCACCACGGGGATGGCGGACGTCGCGGCCCACGACGTCTTGATGGCGCGGAGTGGTCGCCATCGCGACGTTCCCGTCCGTGCCGTTGTCTCCGCACTGGGGCCGCTCAGGCGCCCGGTTCACGGGAAGCCCAACGATCGGAGGTCAGAGTAACTGTCCATTTGGAGTACTTGGGCCGCGCGTTCGCAGCCTTGTCGGGGTGTCTGGACCCTCTTGGGCGTTCGTAGGAGCATCATCGGCGCCTTTTGAGGCTCTCTGGGGAGCCTCTTGAGGGGTCGGTTTGGGGCTCTTTTGGGCCGTCTCAAAACTCTCTGGAGCCGTCCTGGGGCCCTCTTGGGCCGTTTTGGAAGGCTCGGGCTGTCTTGGGGCCCTCGTGGGGCCGTCTTGGGCCCTTTTGGAAGCCTTTTCGTGCTCTCCAGGGTCCGTCTTGGGCTGTCCTGGGGCTCCCTGGGGCCATCTTGGGGCCCTCTTGGGCCGTCTTGGGGCTCTCTTGGGTGCCTCTGGGGCAGAATTGGGGCGATCTTGGATGCTCATCCGGCCGTCTTGGACGCCCTGCCGACCCAAAAAGCGAGTCTGCCAAAAATGCAAGTTTCCCAAAGGAAATTGGGCGATTTTTGGCTCGAGAGGGCCCTTTTGGCAGCCTCAAGGGGCGGCCTGGGAGCGTCGGGGGCCGTCCTGGAGCCGTCCGCGGGGCGTGCCGCGTCGATCTGGGGCAGTCTTGAACCGTCCGCTGCGCGCTCGGGGCCGCTCGGAAGGCTCGGCGGCGGCCCCGAAGGCCGCCAAAGCCGCCCGGGGCGGCCCGAAGCGCCCGAGGGCCCGCTGGGAGCGGCTTGGAGGGGGCCGGTTCGCTGCCACTGCTCACCAATCAGGGGGGTGGTGAATGCTGCATTGTAGGATAGATGACGTTGGGCTCCACCTTCGCCTCACACATCTCGCTCAGCAACGCCAGGGCCCGCTGCCACTGCTGGCCCTTCCCGCACGCGCTGATTCCGGCGCTGTAGCTGACTAGGGCTGACCCGTGGACTCCGTCCACGACATCTTTCTGGAATGGTTCTCGGAGGAACGGCGCAGATTGTACCGAAAATCTACAAACACGGCGGCGGCTCGGGCGGCGGCAGCGAGACCGCGCCTTCGTGTCCGAGCTCTTGCAGCGCTCCAGCAGCTTGGCCCAGCGCACTGCTCGTTCACCCCCCTCCTATTGAGGACAGTTTCGAAGTCTCTCGGGGATGTGCGTCGAAGTCGAAGCCCATCTGAGGCGTCTCAGGAGCGCTCGGGGAAGGGCTCGGGAGGCCATCGGGGAAAGCCACCGAAAGCGCCGGGGAGGCTCGCAAGGATCTACAGGGAGGGCACAAGAGAGCTTCAAGAAAATTTGAAATTCTGTGAAATCTTTAGAGAAACCGCTGTTGGGTCGGCCATCACCTCCGGGCGCGCCTTGATGGTGCGATCCAGTCGCATCACCGCCAACGGGAGGGTTTGTTCGCCATGTCCCAGTCTGTTCGCCCAGAGGGTCTGTGGAGGCCTTCGGGCGAACAGAACGGGACAGGGCAAGGAATGGGGAAGACTTGTCCGAATCTCCTGGGCCCCCCAGGTGCTCGTCCGAAGAATGCGGAGAGGTCCTAGGGTCATATCAATTGGCTGCTGTCCCAGGGGTCCAGTCTGCTTGGCCCGAAGAGTTCGCCAATGCCCCTGGGGGAACAGAATGGCACAGCATATCGGGCAAAGGGGGGTGGTAGCTGGCCTGTCAGACCCGGCGTTCGTCTTCTGCCCAAGCGGCGCGGGGCCCACGGGCCCCAGGGTTGGCGGCCCGCTGGGTTTCCTCTTGTTCGCCCACAGGGTTGGAGGAGGCCTCCAGGCGAACAGAATGGGGCAGGACAATGAATGTGGGAGACTCGTCGCAAGCTCCCAGCCCCCCAAAGTGTGCGCCCGAAGGGTGTGGGGCCGCGTTGGCTCCCTCAAAACGCCGTCTTGGAGCCGTCCATGCCCGTCTTGAGGGCGCCGTGTACCGTGATGGGGCCGTCTTGGTTCGTCGTGGGCCCCTCATGGGCCGTCCGTAGGCCGTCCTGGGCCCATCGGGGTCCTCGTGGGGCTGTCTTGGAGCCGTCTGGGACCGTGAGGGGGCCGCCTTGGAGTCGTCTTGGGACCCTCCTGTGCGCCTCCTTGGGCCGTCCTGGGCCAGCAAGGGCCGTGTTGGCACCCTCTTGGGGCTGTCTTGGAGCCGTCTTGAGCCGTCGCAGCGCGCCTTGGGTTGTGCTGGGTCCGTCTTGGCCCGTCTTGGGGCCTTCCTGGGCGTTTCCTCGGACCCTCCTGGGACTTTCTGGGGCCTCTTGGTGCATCGGACCGCCGAAACGGCGGGAAACGCAAAGGGTGTCACAGTAAACAATGGAAAATAAACGATGTTTGCCAGCTGGGGCTCTCTTGCCATCTTGGCCCGTCTTGAGGTCCCGACCAGGCGCGTCCTTGGGCCGTCCTGGGCGCACCCTCCTAGGACCGTCTTGGAATCGTCTTGGGCCGTCTTGAGCGCGCCTTGGGCCGTCCTGGGCCCGTCTGGGGCTGACTAGTGTGAACCCGTGGGAAATCCACGGCCCGCAGGTCCAGGCGTTGGTCCCGAACTCGCACGTGCCGCCGAAGCCTGGGCGAGGCCCTGGGCGGGCGAAACTGGATCATTCATCAGGGGAACCCAGCAACTCGTCGTTCGACAGAATCTG